AAACCGATAGAATCAGTAATAGTTTCATTTAACTAGGTAATTATAAAATCTATTAATAATGATAAAGGTGTCCAGTTAAACTTGAGTACCTGGAGGACCGGTACTCACCGTTTTTTTTTTGGTAAATCATGTATTTTGAAAATAAAAAAATAAAAATAAAGAAAGCAATGATCTGGTATAGAAAAAAAGTTAAAAAGTAAAATGTGTGTAAATGATCGTGATACGAACCGCGGCCGTCCGTTTTGGGGCCGTTCGATTAACGACCGAACTATTATAACACTTTTTCTTGCGGCGAAATTTACCGTCATATTCGAATGATCCCTCATTTTCAATCCCTGAAAACAGGGATAAAAGGATATTTACATTAGGCGATGGTAACGACACGCTGTATATTAAGAATTAAAATTTCAGAAAAATAAGATGTAAGCAGTCTTTGGCACTGCCCTAGCGACTAATATTCGCAGTAGAAGTTGAAAATTTTTAAGTGGAACTGGTGAACGTCACAATAATGCCAAATGATAAAGGGTGCCCAAAAGGTAGCGAGATGTCTATATATATATAAGGGGTTTCCCTATGCAAATGAATCACGGTCTTCATGCACGTCATGCTATTTGTTGTTAATCTAAAAACGGGAGGGAGTCTTAAAATTATATAGCAACAAAATAAAGCATTAATTGTGAAGAAAAAAACCCCTATCTTTTAGTTATTTTTTATTTGACGTGGGAATTGGTAAGAAAACCAATGTATATTTATCACATAAATATATTGTCGTAACATAAAAAGAACACAATAAAGAATAATACAAATAACGTAATTCATAAATTCCTTTGTATCATGGGTCGGCAACATTAATTATTTTCAAACATTCTATTTACATGAAATTATATGTTTTGTATACGTATACGATTCGGAACTTCACACACATGATCGAATCTCTACTTAATGAAAATAACGGTATTGTAATGTAACTAATCAAAGTTATAGGTTGCATATTATTTTCTTAGATTTTAAACGAACGACTTCTAAGGCCTGGAATATTTTTGCGTATATCTTAATTATAATGACTCGCTTATTGTAACATTAAAAACATATTTCGGACTTTTCATTTAATAACCTGTTGTTTACAAGAATCATAACAAACTAGTTGCTGCCCGCGACTACGTCTGCGTAGAATAGGCTGAAGGTGTAACATTCAGATAGAAAGACAGATATACATAAAAATATGTATTAAATTATAGCCTATGTCTTATTCTGATGTATAAGCTATATTATTGCAGTTTCATTAAAATCCATTCAGTAGTATTGGCGTGAAAGAGTGACTTTGCCTTTATAATATTAGTAAGGATTCTTTATGGATGATATGCTTGTCACCCCTGCCTATATGTATATTGCCTAACACTAAAAGTATAAAAATAAATGCAAATCCATTACACTATATACAAATGTTCACAACCGTCACTTGACAGTCCTACATTGCATTATGCAATGCAGGACTTTATAAATAACACATGCTCAGAACTGAGCATACTTCGGTCACCATAATGGACGCTCAGTTATCTCATCTCTTATTTTTATGCGCTGTAAAATCTGGCTCAGTGATTTAAAGTTCCGCGGTAACTGTGATAGTGCTAAGCGTCTTAACGAACTGATTTTTCGTAGATTCTTGCCTGTTATTATTTTAAATAGACTCAAAATCTGAATCAAGCACTACTCGGCAACAATAATAAAGGATAGTTCGCCGTTAAATGGGTTCAGTAATAAAGAACTTTCGTGGTTTTACATGTTTTCATAGGGTTTGAAAAAGAACTGAGCTTTGATTGGCGACATAATGGTTGCTCAGCTGTTAATAAATAGATTTTTTAATCAGGCCTTCTATCATCTTCACTAAAATGATGGGAGATCCAAAACAGCAGAAGGCTTACAGGTTCATAGCCGGCAATTTCAAAATGGGATCCATTCTCGAACAATTTTAGATTTTCACAACATTGAGCTTTAACCAATAAACTTTATCTCATCTACGGATGATTACAATGAAATGTATAGGTAGTTCGATGTGTTTTCATCCCGGCAGCAATTCGTTGTCCATCTGAGGAACAAATAAAAAAATTAAACATTGGTAGACGAAGGTCCCAGATTTGAGTGGTCATGACATTCATTACCTTAGCACTACTATTTTTTATATAAAAATAGTAGTGCTAAGGTACAAAAAATAATGGTTGTTACTGTAAATAGAACTCGGGTTGAGAAGTTTAGAAGTAATATAACAAAAAAGCTGACGTATCTGCCTTATAATGATAGCCCGAATGCACTTTACAACATATTATTTAATTTAATTAAAGTGGAATTTAATAGTATATTTACTCCTAAGACAGTCAAACCTAAAAGCTCTGTAGTTTTCAATGAATGGGCAACAGTCGGAATTCATAATAGTAGACGTAGATTGTATGAACTTTATAGTGAAAGGACATACAATCATAGTCAATGTTTTGTTTCTTATGTTAGTGCCTACTCTAAAATATTTAAAAAAGCTTGTTATACTGCTAAATCTCTATATATTATGAATAAAATAAAAAATGCACCTGATAGAATCAAAATGACTTGGAAAATAATTAATCTCGAAACGGGAAGAGTCACGAAGCGCAAATCTGACCTAATGTTAACTAATGATAATAATTCTATTAACTCAAATCAACAGGCTGCTACTTTCTTCGAGAAATTTTTCGTTGACATTCCAGTTTCAACAACCAAGTCACTTCTTTCCTCACCGACAGTTGCTGAGTCATTACTAAAAAAGAATGTTATGGAATGTAAAGTCAACTTTAAATTTACTACTGTAAACAAGACAGAAATTGTTAAAACTTTTAAAACTTTACATGTTAAAAGAACTGCAGATCTATGGGGGATCTCGGTTAAGGTGATCAGTTCTATTATTGATGTAATATCACCTTACCTAGCAACTATTTTTAATATTTGTATCAATCGTGGCGAATTTCCTGACCTTATGAAACATAGTAAAATCATTCCGGTGTTTAAATCTGGTAGTACTTCCGACCCCAATAATTTTAGACCTATCTCTGTACTGCCAACTCTTAGTAAATTTTTTGAAAAAATCATGTTGAATTAAATGTTACAGCATTTTAGCTCTCATAATTTATTACATAACAAGCAATATTGGTTTACTAGGGGTCGCTCAACAACTGATGCGGGTGTTCAGCTCGATACGAATATTTTTGAAGCCTGGGAAGAGTCGCAGGATGCCTTAGGAATATTCTGTGACTTAATCAATGCTTTCGATTGTGTACAGCATGAGACCTTGGTCAGGAAACTACGCCACTATCGTATAAGAGATGCCGCACTCAATCTTCTGAAATCGCACTTGAGCCATCGAATTCAGAGAGTTGACGTGAATGGCAAGAGATCTCCCGGGGCCCTGGTAAATATGGGGTCCCGCAGGGATCTATTCTTGGGCCTTTTCTCTTCCTCTTTTACATAAATGATCTACCTTATCTTGTTAATAATAATCATGAGATAGTATTGTTTGCGGATGATACCTCTTTAATCTTTAAAGTAAACCGACGTTCTTTAAGTTATGACGATGTAAACAATACTCTGTCTACTGTAGTACATTGGTTTAGTGCTAACAATTTACTGTTGAATAATAAAAAATTAATAGTGAAAAAGGCAAAGTCGTGGACTGCCAACCATCGAGGTGGTAGCGATGGTATTTGGCAGTTAGACGCGTTTATTACGGTGGTATAGTTCGGCATCAGGTATTAATCTGAACCACTCCTCAGAGCACTCCACGCTATAGATTCGATACAAAACGCAAAGAGATGATACATCTCTTCGCAAGGCCAAAGAGAAATTACATTAAGAGATATTTAAAATTATTAAATCAATTATAAGCTTACCGTTAATTATCCTGGCCAATTACGAACTGCGGTTTGAAAATAGGATCTGTAATCAAGCATTAATTATGAAATTAAACAAATAACATGCATTAAAAGCATTACTCTATATTTATTATTTTGCGAGCGTATTGAAATAATATATTTTTATATCACTACCAATGAGAGAGAACGAGAGTGATTGACATCATACTAATATGCGGTTCCTCGTCATCCTAAAGTCAACAGAGCTTGCTGGGTTATCGCTCGCCGATCCGATGTTCGTTGATAACCCGCGCTAAAAACCGACCACTTTGTGAAAATCTGGTCGAACCCTTGCAGGAAGAACATCTCCGAAATATATTTATACAATCGCTGATATGTATAAGGGTGCGAGATCAATGGTACGGGCAGTGGTGGGTGAGACAAAACCGGTAGCAGTGATAGAGGGTTCACCAAGGCTCTGTTTTGGGACCCTCCTCCTTCCTTAGTAGGAACAATATTCAGCGCCGAATAACAGCAGCGTGGTTATAATGGCGAGAACTTACTGAGGTGTCGGTCAAGTGCAAAGGTCTCACGAACAGATCGTATATACAGCAGCGAAACAAAGTCAGAAAAGCGTCCATACTTCTAGTAGCGAAATGCGAAATGAAGATGCTCGATAAAATAAATCCGTAACGAGCACATGCTATGAAGCCTGGGGGTTCTTGATATCGCCGACAAGGTACAAAAAAGTAGTCTGGTGGTTGTGTCAAGAGAAGGTCACCAGACTAATCATAGTCAAACTCATCAGGGTATTTGGCATTGCAGCTTTCCACAAACGGTCTACGGTCCAGACCTAAGACGAGGTGAAGAAATGTAGTGGTAAGGGACACGAGAGAGTGCAAGCTTTCCAATAACGATCATTCCCAGAACTCAGCCGAATCTAATGCCACCATATATGTTAAAATCTGGCATGAGGTACAAGGCTCTAGAGCATTCCAAATAATTAGGCATACACACCTACATACGACCAAAAATCAACACACTCCTTTTGGCTGTCGCATAAAAAGATATTTATGAAGCTGTCGTAAGAATGTAATTATAATTATGTGGAAACGAAAAAATATGAGGAGTGAATTATCAAAAAAAGTTTTGAAGATATGTGAAGTCCGCCAATCCGCGGTGAGGCCGCTTGGTGGACTAAGCCCTAATACCCAGTGTACAGAGGAGGCCTTTGCCCAGCAGTGGGATAAAATGTATAGACTGTTACTTTACTTACTTTAAGGTAAGTGAGCACATGCTAATTGCCAATGCGCTGTTTGAAATTTACGATGCACGAAAAGCGCGGTAAAATTTACTTCACAATTTTTTTTACGTTTTGTGTGTTGATAGAAAAGTTGAAACTTGTTCACATTTGGTAAAGAGTATCCTTAAGAATTAGACTATTGACCGTGTTAATCAAAGGGATGTATCGTGACATGTTCCTGTTATTAAAAATCCATTAAATTGTTTTATTAGACAGCCGCGTGTTACCTATATTGGCCTAAAAGGAAAATAATAGAATGTTGGAAATTGATGACAACATTGCTAAATATATGATAATTATACCTACGTTAATGTTAATAAGTAAGGAAAATGGTAATCGTGTGATAATATAACTTTAACAACATACGTAATTATGTGGTTGTTTAGATAGAGTGAACTAAGATTAATGGTTGAAACATTATTTTGTTAATAAATAAGTACTGCGTAAACTATTGTTACATTTTGATTTAGCCAATCTCGTTGGGGAAGTACCACGGAATCGGTGCTATCTTTTTTTTATTTATTTTAAAAACATTGCCCTTATTTTAGGATAACACAATATCCTGTGTTATAAGGACGATATACAAACATAAATTTCACAAACACCTAGATGCCAAACAACTGTCTGTGGGTCACACAAATAGTTATCTCGTTGTGGGAACGAACCCACGACCCCTGATGCCGAAGCCAATACCTTGGCAACGGCGCCACGGAGTCATCAATCCAATCTAAGTGTTAATGTTATATTTTCCCGTTTCGCCTTTTGAGTCATGGCGGCCGCCATGGCGGGGTCCTCAACGGTTGGCAAGGCATCAATAATCCCTCAGGTGTTATAGACGATAGGCTGCGTTGTTCACTGAACTAGCTGCTGCCCGCGTCTACGTCTCCGTAGAATAGGCTGAAGGCGTAACATTCGGATAGAAAGACAGATATACACAAAAATATGTTTTTAAATTATAGCCTATGTCTTATTCTGATGTATAAGCTATATTATTGTAAAGTTTCATTGAAATCCATTCAGTACTATTTGCGTGAAAGAGTAACAAACATCCATCCATACGTACAAACTATCGTCCATATAATATTAGTAAGGATGTCAGGAACCACCTCTGCTCGATTGCCAAATCACATGAAAATAATTATGACAATGGTTGAAAGCAAATTCAAAGGAATAGTAGATACGTGAACCGTTATTTTTTATTAAATTAGCATTGCTCCTGATTTAACATGGTGTAAAGATCGAGTGAATGCGCTAGATTTCACAATGTCACGTTTGCTAGATTTATGGCATTTTAGGACTTTTGTTCGATTAATAACAAACAGGTGGACATGCGGGCAATTGATCCGATACGGGTTTCGTTTTTCCGCGAGTCTGAGCCATAGGATAGTTAATTCGCTAATTTACATCCCATTTAGATGTACTGAACGCGGTCCCAATTTCAAACTCTTACCGTTTTTAGATTAAGTTTATAATCATATTTTTACTAACGAAAAACAAAACCGACCTCAAATATCTCGCTGTGTGTTCATTTTATAGTTGATTTCCCTAAGTAGCTCCGGAACCCAAGACCCAATACCAATGAAATTAATATGGGCCCACATGGGAAGCACCAGCTTTCAAATCAAAAAAGTATCATCAAAATCGGTTCAGTCATTCAAAAGTTCTGAAGTAACAAACATAAAAAAAAAATACAGCCGAATTGAGAACCTCCTTTTGAAGTCGGTTAAAAAAGCACCTAATTAGACCAGAGAATACGCGGAATGATACTTCTTACTGCCATGACTTCAACATAATATTAACGTACCATCAGAAGACGCCGTCGAACTAACTTCGTCTCCCAACTCATTGTCTCGAGCGATGCCCAGTATGAGCTTACTGGTGTAGACGTCATCTTTATTGACATCTGTAAAGAAGGATGTCAAGGATGTCATTCACAATACAATAGGAAGAACGCAAATAGATGTCGAGATTTTCGTGCCGTGAGGTCATCGGCCGCTTAGCATGGTTGGTAAAAGGTCTGGCCGCTAAGCCAGAAGACGCCGGATTGATTTTTTATGTGAAAAGTTGGCAAATGAGCGGACGGTTCAACTGATGTTAAGTGAATACCACCGCCCATTTACACGCTACACCCGAGGGTTCCAGATGCGTTGACAACCTTTTGAAAAATTGGGCTCCGGCCACCGCACTCACAGGCGAAACAAGAAAGTATTATACTTCCACTTTACACCGGTCTTCTATGAGGTCGTGGTACTTACCTACTTACTTAATTGTACAAAACTAATCTTGGTTATTATTCTCTTATACCGAGAATAAGCAGATTGTATTACGCATATTTCATTAAAGATAAGACTATTTACTTATTTAACGATAGAATAAAAACTTTTAGTGCCAAAATTGTCGGTCTATTAAATACTTCAAAGTAAAAATACTACCAACATTTCATATAAACTCGATATTAAATCCGAAAGTGTTAAGTAATTTTAATAAATTTATAATTTTCCTATTTATCTTACTGTTTTTTTTTGTTTTTTTTTCAAATGGAATCATGTAAATCTTTGCTTCTAAGATTATTGTCAGATTTAGTTGCAAAATACCGTGTTATTCCGCTGGAGGTTCTTAGCAATAAATGAATAAATAAATAAAATCGAGCGCCAGGACACTGAGTTATCACTGCTCACCAGTATAATTCACAGAAAACTGCAAAGCTTATAATAGAGTACCACCTCAGAGAAGACCGGCGTGAAGTGGAAGTGTTATAAATTCTGCGTTTCGTCTGGGGTGAGATTCTATTTTATTCTAGTCTTCGCCTATTTTATTAAAAGGTGGCAACGCATCTGCAACCCTACGGGTGTTGCAAATGTCAAAGGGCGGCTATCAATTAACATCTTGTACACCGCCAGCTCGCTTGCCACATTGATACATAAAAAAAATGTAATCCATCTTACTTGATGCCTCAGTTGTGGCAGCTTCGGACCGTGGTCTTCTTTCGTCTTCATCAGCTAAGGCTGCAACAGCAATTCTCATTTTATGCATGCCACAATTAGTGAGTACCTCAAATATCAAATTAAATCATTTATTGCTTTGAAGAGTGTAACAAGGTTGTCTGGAAGAAATTGCTACCTTAGCAATAAGGCCGCCAATATTTAAACTATGTTTATTGTATTTTCCTGTTGTGTATTTTATTGTGTGCAGTAAAGTATATACTATTTTATGCTATTCAATTCTACAAGGAGGAGTGGTCGGCTGGCGCCTGGCCTGTTTGTAAGTTCTGTCTGGATGCGGGCTGTCTAAGACCGCGATAGGTGACGCACTTAGGGGAGGCTTACCATCAGCAATGATCGGCGATAGGCTGATATTGTTTTCTTCTTCTACCTAGCATTTATCCCAGCAATTGCCAGGGTCTGCTATGATATTCTGATATTGTATATGCTATGATAGACTGATATTGTTACTGTATTGTATCTCATACCTTTAAAGGGCGCATTTGTAGCGACTTTGGTTCCTAACTCTTCACCCTTCTGCAAGCTCTGCATGAAGTCATCATAATTAAATTCTATAAGGAAAGATAACATGCTTACATGATGGTATTTGAGTCTCGCATGTTACATATTTGCTGACTGTAATAGTATAATATTAACTATTGCCATGATAGTCCGTGGAAGCGCGGCCTTGCACTTAAAATTGCAATTAACAATATCATTGGTGCCGACACCGACATTAATGAACCCAGGTAACTGTGGTAGGGCCACGCAACAGTGTTCGCTGGTACACGAATGGGTAGGTCCGTCCGATTTCGATCCACGACCTCACAGAAGATCGGCGTGAAGTGGAAGTGTTGTAATTCTGCGTTTCGTCTCGTGAGTGAGGTAGCCGCGGCACACTTTATTAAAAGACCACGCATCTGCAACCCTACGGGTGTTGCAAATGCCTCTCTCTTAACATCAGGTAAACCGCTATCTCGCTTGCCACATTAACACATTAAAAAAAATGTTGCATGTTGTTGTAATGGCAGCTTCGGACCGTGGTGTAAACTTAAAGATCTCTGCCATTAGCCGTCTGCTTTCGTCTTCATCATCTAAGGCTGCAACAGTAATTCTCATTTTATGCATGCCAGAATTAGTGAGAACCTCAAATATAAAAACAAATCATGTATTGCTCTGATTAGTGTTACAAGGTTGCCTGGAAGATATTGCCACCTTAGGAATGTAATCCATCTTACCTGGTGCCTTAGTTGTGGCAACTTCGGACCGAGGTGTAGCGTTATAAATCTCCACCATTAGCTGTGCGTCATCGTCATCAGCAAAGGCTGCAACAGTAATCAAATCAAATCATTTATTGGTCTGATGAGTGTAATAAGGTTGCCTGGAAGAAATTGCTAGGCTATGATTTATATACACATATTTTTATGTATATCTGTCTGAATGTTCCTTCAGCCTATTCTACGCAGACGTAGTCGCGGGCAGCAGCTAGTAATATTATAAATGTGAATATTAGTTTGTTTGTTACGCTTTCACGTCAAAACTACTGAACTGATTAGCATGAAACTTTTTAAACATATTCTTAGAGATATTAAAAAGGATATAGGCCATTTTTATAAAAAAAGAAAAAATTATTCAAGAATTTATCTCTAAAAGAACATTGAAAAAATAACGAAACAGTATAATATATAAGTATGCAAAATTTAAATTAAGCCATCAATATAGGTAGGTACTTATATTTATATTTGCTATCTTTCCTGTTTGTGCCTTCGTAACAATATTAAGTAGGTTTAAATACCGGTAGATATTTTTTTGTAACTACATTAGCTGCTTTTTTTTATAGAAAAAAAATCAACACGCTTACTTTAGGATTACATTATTATGTATTGAGGGCGTTTCAAAAACATTACGTCTCCCAGAAACAATTATCTGTGGGTCTCACAAATATTTGTCCCGTGCGGGAATCGAAGCCAAGACCCCCGGCGCCGGAGCCAATGCCTTGGGAACTGCGCCACGGAATCATCAATTTATTTTTGAATGTTCCATAGCTCAATGAATTTTGCTTTTTAACCGACTTCAAAAAAGGAGGAGGTTTCTCAATTCGACCGTATGTATTTTTATTTTTTTTTATGTGTGTTCCCGGATAACTTCGTCGTTTATGAGCCGATTTTGATGATTCTTTTTTATCGGAAAAGGGTGGTACCATGATAAAGAAACCCAGATCTGATGATGGCATCCCAGAGAAATCGAGGGCCATTATTGAATCCTATAGTTATTAACAATGTTTTTATTAATTTTCTGATTGAAGTCGGTAGTTTTTTGTTAAAAATTATGGTTACTATAGTACGAAATGTATTATATCCAGTTATCTACTACTGCTGTGGTAAAAATGTTACCTGGGGCGTCAGTTGTTGCCTCTTCGGATTGTGAAGTCTTTAAAATGAGCAGTCTGGTTTTATCATCATCTGGGGCTGCAAAGGTTGTTCTAATTTTATTCATGTGAATTCAGAATTAGTGTGACCACATTTAACACAACAACGACAACGTAAATTGAAGTGACCATGTAAAACAATTAAAACTCCATATTTAAACAAGCATGACCAAACAGAATCGTCAGAATGTGTTTTGAATTTCCGAGTTGCGAGTTTTCTGGTTTTGTATACTTTTAATTTATCCTGCAAAAGTCAAGTGCAGGGGAAAATTTTGATCGCTGGTTTCTTTACTTTGACTAGGTAGGTACTATAAAATGCTTGTCAGAAGTTTGTCATAGCCGTAACGTGTTCCCGTTGCACTGTCGGCGTCCAAAGCATTCTGTTACCCCTTAGTCACGCCTAGAGAAGTTTTACTTGAAAAACATAAATTGTAATTTTTCTAGGACTCTGAATTCGATTAAGTAATATTCGTAAGTTTTCCCAAACACTACTGCTATGTATCTGACATAATACTCGTATTGTATGAACATCACAGAGCAAAACTATGATCCTGTATACAGGGTCATTTTTTAGACGAAATACATACTTTAAAGTAATGTTAATTGAGCATTCCATAATTCAAAAGAATATTAATATTTTATTTTGACAAGAAATCATCAGAAAAATATTAATTCAAACATTGTTTGTTTATCCCGTTAAGAGTGGTCCCCCTTTTGATAAGCGGGTTAGTAATTATGCGTTCAGCGAACAGTTTTAGTGCTCGTGAATAGGTTATTGTATTGAGACGGTAAGGTAGGAATTTATAATAGGGTGTCCATAATTTTTGGAAAAAAAAAATTATCTTTGAAAAAATAATGAGGTTACAAATACGTATCAGATTCAGATTTAGAATAAAATTCTGCATATGCAACATTAATATGTCCGTCGTCTATAAAATAACCCTGTATTTTATACGTTTTCGTCAAGCTTGTTTTGATAATAAAAATACTTACTTTTCACTTCACTGGCCGATCGGAGAAGATTATTTACAGCCCGCTCAATAGCAATATACACGTTTTCTGGAATTGGAAAATAAAAATTATTTTCGACAAATTCATCCAGTGCAAATTTTTTTTAAAACATTGCCCTTTAGGATAACATTATCCTGTGTTGGAAGGACGTTTTACAAACATAAATTTCACGTGGACAAACACCCAGATGCGAAACAACTGTCTGTGGGCCAGACAATTAGTTGTTCCGTGTGGGAATCGAACCCACGACCCCCGACGCCGAAGCCAATACCTTGACAACTGCGCCACGGAGGCATCAATTTATTTTTGAATGTACCAAATTATTTTATCTGTTCGTGTTTGAATACAAATTTTTGAATTCTCAATGTTTCGAAAACTTCACGTTGTGAATAACTGAGAATCCACCGGAATGATGCTTTGGGCCCTTGCCCATGCCATAGTTAATACGGGCTATGCTTAATGTTTTACTTTCGTTTGTCCTATCATAGAAGACTCGACTGGATGAAACTTTAATCTCCGTCGTGGGTTGAATTTTTGCACTGGAAAAATACGACTTAAAGGATCATCGTTACGCCTCTGGGTTTATCTTTATGTTTCGAAAACAGGAGGCAAAATAAATAGGAAAATCATCTTACTGCAGGAATGTTTTTCAATACCAAACAAATCGCTGCGCTCCGATCGGTAAGACTTCATAGACTCCTTATTTTTTTTATTATTATTATTCGGAAACTTCACAGCATACCAATAACCACATTACAAAATATAATTAAAAAATACTTAGCCATTTAAGAAGTTACGATTTATTTTTTTTTATGTTATGGTACAACGGGAGGAATAACTTAAATATAGATGAAAAAAGTAAAACTCACCATCATCTGCGCCCATGCGCGACATCAACACTTTGTCGTTTCGCTCTAAGAACTCTGGTATAGTCATGACCGGCTTCCCCTGAACTTGTACCAGACAGCACAGCGCCACTGCTACGAGGAACTGCGAGCACCTGTGACGCGTACCGAAGACACGGTAATTGTTTTTTAATTCTATATAGGGTTTCCACTTACACTTCAACGTGGTAGGGCCACGCAGCAGCCTCGGCTGTTGCACGAATGGGCAGGCTCGCCCGGGTAAGTACCACGACCTCACAGAACTGGTGAGTAATGTAGCCGGAGCCCAAACTTCAAAAGGTTGTCAACGCATCTGCAACCCTCGGGTGTAGCAGAGGTCCATGGGTGGCGGTATTCACTTAACATCAGGTGAACCGCTTGCTCGCTTGGCAACTTTTCACATAAGAAAAAAAAAACACTTCAATTGTATGTTCACAAATTATGAATGAGCTTAACGCAGAAGAACCAGAAAGAGATCATGCAATCTTCTCCTTTCTTCTGCACTTATTGCTCTTAAGGTGGTGTTAGCACGGCTTTCCATATGAAGCCGTTGGCTTCGTCGCCTGTGCTCGTGGGTTTGTTTCCAAATGTAGACAAGTATTTGTGTGACCCACAGATATTTGTTGGGAGTGTTCTCAAGGAGGGCTGGCGGCCGGTAAAAATCTAGCCTAGTCATTAATAATTTAACTGTTGCGCAGACACCACCTTGGTGGGATAAGAGGTAGGACAAAGAAGAAAATATTAGAATCGTTGTCAAAAAAGGCTTCCGAATCCATTTTCATTTAGTAATCCCTGGAAAACGCCATGTAACGTTTTATTTTAAGCAACTCAACGAAAGGATGCTAGGACGGAATCAGTAAGAGTTTATTAGAGTCGCGATTGCTAAGTTTCTTTTATGGGAGAAGGAGCAAGTGATCCGGTGGTACACCTCACGTTAAGTGATAACAGCCACCCATTGATTCCCTTATCCCTATGTGATTATGACACAAGCTCTATGTTTTTTTAATGTAAGATAGTGGCAAACCATCTGGCGGTTCACCTGATGTTAAATGATAACCGCCGCCCATCGACTTTGCCAAACCCGTAGGGTTGTGGATGCGTTCCCACCTTATAATAAAGTGGGCCCAGGCTACCTCACTCATCAGACGAAACACAGAAGAATGCCACGCTGGTCTTCTATGAGGTCGTGGTACTTCCCCGAACCGGCCTGCCCAATCGTGTAACAGCGAAGACTGTTGCGTGCCACTACCACAGTAATTAGAAATCGTATCTAGAATTGCGACAAGAATCAATTTCATTTAAAACGATGCCTCACAGTCAAAGCAACAAAATAAGCCGATCCAACCAAAAAAAGTGCCCCGCAACTGTAGGTATGGCAACGCGTTCACCAAACTTAATGTCTTTAAACTTAAGCTTTAGGTCCTGCGAAACCGCAGAGGATAGGAACAAGTCTTCCCCCACGACTCGACCTACGCAAATTATGGGAAATTTACTCCACCTACAACCTTTGACCTTTCCCCGCACCCTTCTTGCACGCATCCAATGAGGGCCCAATTAGCCCACATAGATTTTGTACTAAAGGTCAGCACAACGGGTTTCCTCTCGGCTTCACCATAAGGGACCAAGATAATGCTAATAAGGCCTCGCCACCAGACGGAAACCAGTCCAGAGGGACACCTGAGAATCTCCAGGACAAAATATTATATCGCGCCACTTTACTTTGTAGCAATATTGTGAGACATCGAGGTATTTAATAGGAAAATAGACGTAGAGAACACTTGGTGATGACGTAAATAATATTTCGTGAAAACTACAGAACACATTTCAATTAGGTTTATTAAATAATATTTAATTTTAGATAGATTTAATCTTGTAAATATTAAATAAATAAAATATTTCAACTAATTCTTCCGAGTTTTATTTCATAGACACTAGGACCTTATTAAAAAAAAAAAGTTTTTGTGATATCTACCATTAACGACGTCTTTCGAGTTTCAAGAATCAACGATAATTATAAGTGCTTAAGTGTTCAATGAAGGCGTAGCAAAGTGTATAGTTGTTAATATGATGATCAAAGCCTACGAAATGACGGGTATCAGCTAATTTCAAATAAAAACACACTTAATGAAAATTTGGCGAAAAATAATTAATATTTCATGGAAATATGACATAGTTTCATAAGTTTTGTTCAAAATGAATCTAAATATGTATGATTGTAATATTGAAACAGCAAATTAATTAGTTAAATAACTTTAATTAAACCAACGCCACTGACTCTGCGACTGCGGAAGTGATGGTTTCGCGGAGACTTGCTATCGCTCGATTTGCGTCATCGAACGTAGCTATCGTCTCGGGTAGGTTGACTATATCCTAGGGGTCCAAGGCCTTGAGTTTGACCTCAAGACGATGTCAGTCCACTACGGTTTTGGTTGGAAGGACCGCACCGGTGTTCTGGTCCAGGTTGCACAGGACGGGCCTGTGATCTGCATCTAACTCTTGGATTGTCTCTATCGACTCGATGTCGACAGAGATCTCCTTGAATAACATAATATCTCCCGGGTTGACTGGGAGAGAATGCCCAAATGGCATTAAGTCCGCCCTTTGTAATCCTTTTTTAAGGTTTTGCAATAAAGCATAAATAAATAAATAAATAAATAAATATCTAGGATACTCGGCAAGTTTTAAGGTCTCTTGCACTAGAAATATAAGTACATTATGATCGCGGAAGAATTCCGTGATTTCGTCTCCTTGATCCCTAATGCGGTTTGCGTTAAAATACGAGACAACCAGTGTCCGAGGTTTAATCTACCTGCGGTTCTACTTTCCATTAAAGTTCTTTAGGGGTTCTAAGTAACGACGCGGCGGTTTTCTTGCATGGGCTATAAATTTTTACGTTTGACTTGTAAACACCAAGAGGGCGTCTACAAGTATTTTGTGCTCTAGAATAGTTTGAGATTGAGTTTATTTATCCCTTCTAAGTAGTCGCAGATATTTTCCATTTGGGCAAAAGGGTCGTCATTGTTTTCGGTAATTACTTGTGGTGTTGACCTGCAGCCTCGGCGGACAGCGGGGCGCGATTATCTGCGCCACTACTTGGGGTTTCGGACAGGCATTTACTACAGGTGCGGGCGCGGGAATAAATTTTGCGGGCACAGATTAAACTAATGTTATTTTCGCGGGCGCTTTCCTCGCAGAAGTTTTCGGGGCTTTAGCGCAGCCCCTATAGCTAGCCGGGTGGCCGCTCCTGACTTCTGAACTCCTGATTTACGCGGGGGCTTGATCATTGGGGGCTGAGACCACAGACCCTCTTCAGGTTGAAGATGGCCTTACCTTCCGGGGTAGGGTTAAGTTCAACCATTACCATGTCCATAGAGACATGGGTTCTGGGGTGCCTGAGGCGTCGTACGGCATGCACAGGGTATCCCTGAGTGCGGATATCGGTCTTTGCCTTGTCGACATCCGACTCTTTGGGGACGCCCTTGATAACTACACGAAATTTGCGTTTTCTGGCAACGAGTGGGTGTGAAAACCTACTTTACTTTCGACAAAATAAAATAATTTTTTTAAATGTTTGACAGCATGTTCAGTGCTACCAACGTAGTCTGCTTTTTCTTAGGTATTGGTAACATAAAATAAAAAAATTCAAGAGATGTTTCATTTACTAAGTAAGACAATTAATCAGTAGGTTTTTATATACCTATTTGACAACTTTCAGTAACGTATGCTACGTATGGTAAAATTTATTTCTTCTTTATTCTTTATTTGCATTCCACAATGTAGCTTAGGTAAAAACAATAAAACTTAAAATTAAGAATCATCATGGACCCTGCTAGGACATAACAATAGTAAAAATTGTTAAGACTTAAATACAATTAGCATTAAATTAATTAGAATTAAAACACAAAGACTTTTTTTATTTAAATTAAGCGTGCAATGTCCATAAAACTTAATATTAATTTAATTATATTTATAAACATAACATTAATAATTTATAATAAATTAATATAACATAATTTCATAATCATAATATTTTATAAATATAGAATATTAAAGTATTGTGGTGCACTTTAGTCGCTTAAATATTCGTGTGTGCTATAATAACTCTTGTTTAATAAGAGTTTTTTCATTTCGTTTTTAAACTGATTGCAATTTTTTATTGCCTAAATTTTATTTGGTATTTTATTGTATATTTTTACACACGTCGCGTAAGGTCCTGATTGAAAGAGGGCTAATGAGGAGCTTGGTAACGGTAAATTATTTCTATATCGAAGGTTTCGGTATTGAAGCCGAATTATTAAGCGGCGTGCAGTATGGACATGCGTCATCTTTATTAAAACCTCATTGGTATTTGGTAATGGGTTCACTAAAAGGACCAGAGTCAACCCAATCATACATGGGAATATCTTTATTATTTACTAGCTGCTGCCCGCGACTACGTCTGCGTAGAATGGACTGAAGGCGTAACATTCAGACAGAAAGACAGATATACATGAAAATATGTATATAAATTATAGCCTATGTGTTATTCTGATGTATAAGCTATATAATTGTAAAGTTCCGTTTAGTAGTTTTTGCGTGAAAGAATAACAAACATCCATCCATACATACAAACTTTCGCGTTTATAATATTATATTATAGTAAGGATCTTCTTGCTTTTTTTAACATAACAGTTTATAATTTGAATTATCTAACCTTATTAATACATTTCGAATAAGATAATTTATCAGTAAACTTAGGGGTGAAAGGTGGAAGAGTGTTTTTAGATAAGTCTAATATTTTATAATGTATGTATTCACACAGTACAATTATTAGTACCTCGGGTAAAAGTTCATCGGTATGCACATAAAACTTTATAATATAAGCCATGTAATACATAAATCCAATAAGAATGATAAACAAAATACAAATAAAAACATAAACAACATGAACAGATATATTTATAGATATATTTAGTTCAATTCAACATATTAATACTTACGTATTAATACTTTGAAAAGGTTTCATCTGTTGACACAGGGTCAAATCGATCGAAGATTAATATGCACTATATGAAAAAAATTGCACAGATAACATAAACAGTAGATGAGCTTGGAAATATTTTAGGTGTCCTATTTTTTTAGAAAACGGCCCACAATACATCGTACAGCAAAAGAGGCGAACTCACCTCATAATTGAAAATCCGTCGCGAGGAATCGAACTTGAAATGGGAACAGCACACAACCGACCACTAAAGAGGACCAAACGCTACTGAGGGAGACTGGTGAATTGAGAGGAGATCAAAACACTTGTACGTTTTCTGAGGCCATCCACAGCTTGCACCGGTTGGGAGGCAGCATCCGACAGCTTAAGCTGGTTTGTACGCGTGCGAGAGAGACGCACACGTAAGTTAAAATCACGATTTCGCGAACACGTGACGTGCGTGCTTACCGCGGGCGGTGCGAAGACGTGAATATATAATGTGAACTTATCAACGCTTTGGGGTTATGTGAGATAACCAAGTATGCAGTGAGCTCAGGGTTTTTCATGGAGATTGGGGCAAACTAGCAGACGACGATAGAATGACTCTCTAAAACGAAATTAATCATCAGTGCAGCACATTTAAAATCATCATCATAATTTCAGCCTGTCCACTACTGAACATAGATCTCCCCCACAGACTGACACGAAGCATTCTGACCAACTTTCATACATTAACTAACTCCATCTAGTGAGGGGTCATCCTACACTGCGATGGCCAGTACGAGGTTGCCAATCTAGAATCTTTCTTCCTTTTCTTATCGGTTCTACGAGCTATATTGCGGCCCCGTTGCCACTTCAGCTTACTAATCTTCTGAGCTATATAATTTATGTATTCTACTGTGGATATCTTCGATGCGAACTAGCCCATACGACGCTGATTTATATAGAGCTTTCTCATTGGGCTAGCTATGAAGGACCACGTCTCGGTCTCGATGTCACCACTAACAACACACATTGAGCCTTTTCAGAAACTGGCTTGTTCGTAAAACTGGAAGTTATAAAAGCTCAAAAGGGATATCTGCCTATAGTTCTTCAAGAGCACGTCATCGCCTTTCTTGAAGAACAACACCATATCACCTCGGCTCCTACCCTCTGGTATGGCACTGTCCTGAAGGACAAGATTAAAGAGCCAAAGTGAAGGTTCGAATCGGATTGAAGTATCCGTTCTCCACCCGCTTTCAGAAGTTCGATATTTAAAATAAACTGACGGAAATGGAAAATGGGTCTAATCCTGTTAGGCATTGCTTGACATTCAGTAGTTTTTAATTTTCAGAGGTTGAAAAAAATATTTTAATTAATTAGGGTTCAGCACCGAAAGAGCAAATTGGGACCCTTTTACTAAGATTCCGCTATCTGTCCGTCTGTATATACCAGGCTCGATCTCATGAACCGTGATAGTTAGACAGCTGAAATTTTTCAGATGATGTATTTCTGTTGCCGCTATAACAACAAATACTAAAAAAACTGAATAAAAATATTCCCAACTATTCACTACAACTAATTCTCCAACAAGTGGCGGGTTTGTAGCCTTGGCCGCCTTAGGCCTCAGCCCATGTAGTAATTTTCAGCCGCCCCTTTTTCAGCGCCCATCATATATGTTGTTATCATCAGTGAATTTTTTATCACGATTGGCCGCCTCTAATATGTGGTCGCCCTAGGCCTACTGGGCCAGAGGGCAAATCCGCCACTGGCTCCAACGTGACATGAGTCTGTTGTATGGGAAACAAATATGATTATTTTTACCGTTTTATACACTTGGCTCGTTCGAGTAAATTCCACAATCTAACATACGACTGACGTTGAAGTGAATGCATTGAAACTTTTGCATTTCGTCGATGGTTGGCAAAATGCCTACAACATCTTTGTATATTTATGTGAAAATTTGGTAAGCGCGCAGGCGGTTCGTCTGATTTTAATTGAAAACTGCATGGACATCGACAATACCAGAAGCGTTGCGGATGCGTTGACAATCTTTATTAATATTGGTGTCGGGCACCTAACGCACCAGACGAAACTCGAATGAATAAAAATGTATTGTCTATAAATCTATAATCTTTACTAGAAATCTCCTCAGTTTTTGTAACAATACAGTAGAAGCCTATACATATTCCACTGTTAGATACTTCAAATAATAACTACTCCTTTGTCACAAAAGAGCCGTGATAGCTCAGTGTCCGGGCGCTTGCCTTTAATTCAATTTACTCGAGCTACTTGAGTTCGATCACCGGCACTAATGAAATTATTAATTTTAAGTGCTGAATTATGACATGCTCAGCGGAGCAAAAACATCGTGAGGAAAACTGCATATTTTCGAAATAATAACAAAAAAAATATTTCGACGATATGTGAAGTCCGCTAATCCGCAGTGAGGTCGCGTGGTGGACTATGCCCTGATAGCCTGTGTACAGAGGAGGCCTTTGCCCAGCAGTGGGACATGTACTTTACTTTTTAAACGGTTTTATTTAGCTCGACCCGTACGGAATTTGTTTTTTTGGGTCAAAATTTGAAATTGAAATTTAAGCACCTTGCCGTTGTCAGATTGATCTGAAATTTGGTACACACATTTAATTTAGATCACAATACAATATTAACAAAAAAAAATTAACAAAAAAAAAACTTTAACTTAAAAGTTTTGAACGGTTTTTTTATGTGATGGATGCCAATCCTCAGTGTAGGCGCGCCATACTGCGGATGGGCAACGCGACCCTACAATAATATAAATGTCTTATAGACGGTCACTTGAATTTATAACTTTTACTGTGTTTACACGATAAATTAATAGTGCAACAAATATATGAGTTCATTGCTCTAACAATGACCAACAGACCGCATAAGAAACTTTATAACTACAAAACATGACTTGTGCAACTATTGCGCAACGTGAACAAAAACGTTGCAAAACTTATGCACCAGTTGTGTCAGTCTTGCGTATAATAAATAAATAATACATAACAATAAAAAAGCCTTTATTTCTTCTGTAGATTTACATATTTAAAAAAAACTTAAATTATTCTAGTAAGATTTGTGTAATTATTGTTTTTTTTTAACTACTTTACTTATTTAATCTATTGCTTATTTATATACTTAATATATATTACTTATTTAGTATATTTATTACTGTCCCTATCTACAGAATCCCTAGGTGTGGGTAAAGGCCTCCTCCAAAGACCTCCATTTGTCTCGGTCCTGCGCTACTTGTTCCCAGAGTGGGCCAGCTGTTTTTTCGATCTCGTCTTCCCAGCGTGAAAAGGGTCCGCCCCTATTTCTTTTGCCTTGTGGTCCACGCCATTCTGTTGTCCTCAGTGTCCGTCTCTGATCTGTAAATCTTGCGTATACCCTTGGCTATATTGATTTGGAAGCTCAACGGGGCAGTGGTCTTCGTAGCATCGCATTCACTGTTGCACGAGTGGGCAGGTCCGTCCGGCTAAGTACACGACCTCGCAGAAGACCGGCGTGAAGTAGAATTGTTATACTTTTTTTTCTACATATTTTAATGTTCAATCTTAATTGCAAAGATTAGCACTATAAACAATTTAAATTTCTAAATAGCAATGGCGACATCTCTCGTTCGAATTATGGTTGTAAAACGATATTCGAAATTGTTTGTATGCTGGAAAGGATATAACAATGGATGCGCCAAGCATTGCTTCAAATGCTAAAAAACAATGTAGATAAAAGACGTTAAGATTTTCGTCGGTATGGCAATCAGCCGTTTAGCTTCGTGGTTTATGCCGCAGGCCGCGAATAAGGGTTGTTGGCCGTTAAAGATGGTAAATATTTAAGGTAAAGTGAAAGAGAGCTAGTGCGTTTTTGCCATTATCCTGAAAAGGACCTTCTGGATTAGCTATTTTCAAAATCCGATAGCCGGTAGTCTTCTTGTGCCAAGTACGCATTTAAAAATATTAAAAAAAAAACACGCTTTTATACTTAGCAGAACTAAAAAATAAACAATAGTTTAATTAAAAGTAGTAAACCGAACTAAAAGTAGTAAAAAATAATTTTCAATAAATTTAAATTATGAGTAGTGTGATTAACAAAAAAAATGTGTTGCAGAAAAGCTGGTGTGCTTTTTAAGATATTACCATTATGACTTATTTTACCAGTATATTATATATACTGTTATTAAAATATTATAACGATTGACTTCAAGCAGCCCGCGCTTTTCTACAATATTTTTTTTTTGTTAATAGCCGTGATAGCTCAGTGTCCGGGTGCTCGCCTCTAATTCAATATACTCGAGTAATGTCAGTTCGATCCCGGTGCCGGCGCGAACGAATGTTTAAGTGCTGACCCAGCGATGAAGGAAAACATCGTGAGGAAACTGCATATTTTCGAAATAATAACTAAAAAAATGTTTCGAAGATATCTGAAGTGCGCCAATCCGAAGTGGGGCTGCGTGGTGGACTATGCCCTGAAACCCTCTGTACAAAGGAGGCCTTTGCCCAGTTGTGGGACATGTATAGGCTGATAATGTCATGATTTCTATCATCATTACATAGTATAAAATAAAGTCGTCCCGCTGTCTGTCTGTCCCTAAGTATGCTTAGATCTTTAAAAGGACGCAACGGATCTTGATGCGTTTTTATTTACAAGGTAGAGTGATTCAAAAATACATTGCACCCGTGCGAAGCCGGGGCTGGTTGCTAGTTATTAATAATAGTTTATTGTAAAATTTGTAAAGATAAGAGTTTGGTGTGTTTTAATACAAGTGTTTAAAAGTAAAAACCAGGTTTCATTGGAATTGCTACATCCCTACTTGATAATTACACTCACATAAAATCTATTACCGCGAATACAGGATTTTGGATGCAACAAACGTAAATAATTGTATAATTGTAACAATACTTTACTTTCTACTCTTTTAGTTGTTTATAAAACAGTACGAGTACTTATTTGCCATTCGTCCGCACTGTTTTGGTCTAGACAAAAGAGGCAAATTATCGTGTTTTTATGTAGTGCACATAACTGAGCTAGCAAGCCTTTCTTTTCCTGAGAAGCGATCACCGCAAACCACAAAGATTTTTTTATGGAGAAAAGGGGCAAACTAGCAGGAGTCTCACCTGATGGTAAGTGATTACATCCGCCCATGAACACTTGCAACACCCGTTGACAAATGCGTTGCCGGCCTTTTAGGAAAGTGTAAGCTCTCTTCTTAAAGGTTCCCAGGTCGTAACGGTTCGGAAAGTCCGCCGGCGGCAGCTGGTTCCACAGAGCGGTTGTGCGAGGCAGGAACTGGCTTGAAAATAGCGCTATTTGTGGACATCGAGCTTTTGTTTAACTTATTGTGGTGTCAATGTAATTAATGTTATTAGCATTTTTTAAATGTATTACTGACAGTTATACATCAAATATTACTCATATAACTTTACGACATTTAATGAAATTGTGAATTAGGTAGGATCTACAAATCTAAATGTATGTATAAATTAAATATAAAAGTAATATAAAAAGTATTCATAAAATGTATTTATTAAATAAAAAATGACAGGTTGACAGCTAACGCAGACACTGACCTCGATCCCAGTGACCTTTGACAGGGCTATATTTATATTATCAAAGAAGCATTGCATCATCAACGAGTATTGAACAGCAACCTACTCAATGGAACACGATGAATAAGAAAGTAAATTTGCGTCATAATGTTGGAGGGCATATCTTTTACCGTTTGTGCGCTAAGAAATTTAAAAGTAACTAGCGGGCCCAACTGACGTTGTCCTGTACACACGACTTTAATCCGACAACAATTTATAAATAAAAAAAGAAAGAATTATGAATCTAATTCTTTATTTTTATGCGAATAGTTGTCAAACGCTTTTGAAAACCCTCGAGTGTAGCAGATGTCCATGGGCGGCATTCACTTAACACTATAATTATTCACTTAACACTATAATTGTATATATATTGATCTTATAGGGAAGGGCGTTCCAGAGGATTGTAGCTTGAACAGTAAAAGAGGAGCTAATGATGATGATGTGAATCTTAAGTAGGTTGATGGAACGAGATACTCTGTCAGGGTCAGAGTGAAGGTATTGGAAGGTATCCTTAAGGTAAGAAGGAAGGTTATACTTCTTAGAATTGAAATAATAACGAAAAATATTTCGACAGGAGGGACAATGTCTTTTTTCTATAGAGACTAGAGACCAGTGAACCTCATTCCTTGCTGGGCTTGTGGTGGCAAGATAACGCATGCTTGCGGGGTCTCGCTACAGATAAAGATGCCCTACACAGTTTGCTTATGCGTCACTACTTCCCTATATCTGATATCGAAATGGCACGTGACGTAAAAATTTAATCTCAAGGCGTTCTTATGGCAAACCACGCCTTAGCCCAATATATCGGTAACGTAAACCATAAAGAAAAGTTGCAGACGTATCAAAAAATATTTTTAAACATCCGCCAATCCGCGGTGGGATCGTATGGTGGCCTATGCCTTAATACCTTCAGTAAAGAGGAGGCTTTTGCCCAGCAGTGGGATATGTATAGGCTGTTAATACAAGCGTGGGACGCGACCACTCTATAACTTCGTTTTCCGTTCACTCATAGATGGCGTTGATAACTTACCAAGTTTACGACATTCGTATTCCGCGAATCACGAAACACATCAATGATGAGCTGATTATGATGTGAGGTCAATGTTAACTATCATCTTCACAGAACAATATAATTCCGTTTTCAAATTTAAATAGGTATATCACTGTAATGCTCTCGCCTGCGACAGGCATAACGCAATTTCGAATTATGTATTAATCGGAATAGCACGAGGGAATTAAAAATCTGATGTTTTATTTATGTTTGATGATGTGTTGGCGGAATTGTTGCGATATTGCGATAACATTAATCGCATATTCGGTTAACGGCACGTGAAATAATTATTATGACATATATTATGAAGTCAAGTTGCCAGATTTGAGTGTGTGCCTTGAACCGTTTTAATCATATACGGACGGACAAAAAGAACTGAGTGATGTTCACAGGTCGCAACGTTACGTCACTGGCAACCTACTTTGTTAATAATTTGAAATTACTATTTGTATTTTTATTATATATTATTAAATGAAATTTTGCATATACGTGTAAATCGCGTGACAGTGCAATATTATGCTGATCTGATGATGGAGCTGGAAGGTGGTCATGGGAACTCTGTAATGAAACGACGCAACCCCACCGAGTTTCGGCTCGTTTCATTCGATAACTTTATTTTTTTATGTAAGTCGATTGTTTCAAAAGCATCGAAACGCCTTGTATTCTTATTTATTAATGACGAAACTACACACAACTGTATTATTATCATACCTTTTGTAACAAGATTCTGATATGTGCACTTCACCGTAGTTTACCTTAAATTTTTATTTATGTCTAACGTTTCTATACAGCGTGTCTTTACAATCCTTAAATTTTTATTTATGTCTAACGTTTCTATTTAGTCAGGAAGAGCATATTCTAAATGCGGTCATTAAAAAAATAGCTTTACTCTTTTACGGATGACATGTCTTGTGCCCTATTAATTTAACTTTGTGTATCACATATAGTAATTGCCTCATAAGTATATTATTATTCTTGTATCTTGTATTAACTGATGTTTTTGCTTTCAGTCCCGAGACTATTAAAGCTTCATCTGACGCAGAACCGATGGGCTAGCCAGAACCCACAGGTTTGGGCCCTCCGCTGTGGGTAGGGCCACGCATCTGCTCATGCGTGCGTTTAACTATGGTGTGTCATCTAAGGGCCATCGAGGTCGTGGTTCGGACCGAAACCCCGATGGCCGTCGACTGTGCAATTAGCTAATCGGTGGCTGGGGGCGGTGAGAACCGCCCCGGAACGCGGGTGTACCTTGTGTACGCGTTGTGTTGGTCTCGCCGTGCTCGGAGGCGAGGGCGAACTAGTGTGTTTGTTGTTGCACTAACTGTGGGTGTAGTGTTGTCCGGCGGGACCCCCGGCAGTGGGTCCGGCGTGTCTAAGTCCTCTTCCTCGACCGGGTCGATTAGGACGTTTCGCGAGCGACGCTTGTTGACGTTCGCGTTTTTGTCGGGTTGGTAATTTGCTGCGCTTACCACCAGAGGGTTGGGATGATGTTCGGCTCTATCGAAGAACCGTTTGGTCAGGTCTTTAAAATATTCGCGAATCGTCGGGAGTCTGCAATCGCTGTGCAGGTCGACGTTGCGTTGATACCACTGCGCACCGGTTGCGCGGCGGATGAACTAATATTGTACTATTTGCAACTTGTACAATCGAGTAGGGTGCGTGTGGGCGAAGGTCATGCATGCGTAAGACATAATAGGTCGTACGCAGGTCTTATATAATAATAATTTGTGCCTTAAGGGCATTTTACTTTTAGCGTTAGTTAAGTTGTGTAGCCGGCCGGAGACGAACGCGGCTCTATGGGTGAGTACTTCGTGTGAAGTGAATCGCCACACTCTTTTCTCCATTTGCGGAACCAATCGCCGAGGCGGTCGGCAGCGCTTTGGAGTCGAGTGGTTAGTTGTCTAAGGTTGCAGTCTGAATAAAAGAGCGCCGTGTCCGCGAAAAGCGCGAGATTGACTGGGGGTCTTTAGATATATCGCTCCGTAAAGAGCAAAGGTGAGAGGCAGGAGCCTTGTGGTACGCCGGCGGTGAGGCGGCGGCTTGTGGAGAGGGTGCTTTCAACTCGATATCGAAAAGAGCGGTTCGACAGGAAGGCCTGGATGGTGTGTACGAGCCTATCTGGCACTTTGAGTGTTAGCTTGTAAAGCAAGCCGTTGTGCCAGCTTGTCGAATGCTTTTACGACATCGAAGAAAAGAGCCCCTGTACTAATATGTTTAGGGTGATTTAGGCCCATCAGGATATTTTCCGTTAGTCGGACTCATTGATCGGGACAGGAATGTCTAGCTCGAAAGCCGAATTTTCCGCCGGCAGAAGGCCGTTGGAAAACACGTGCTCATTGAGCCTGTTTAATAAAAGCCGCTCGTAGAGCTTCCCCAGGCAACTGAGGAGGCTGATGGGACGATAACTAGAGGGGTGGTTGGCTGGTTTATTAGGCTTGCGAATGCGGATAACCCTGGCTTCTTTCCAGTCGTCCGGAAAGGAGCAACTGGAGAGTAAAGTATTGTAAATGGTCGCCAGTATGTTATTATTTATAATATTACGTAACATAACCCTAAAAATTGCATCACTCTACGGATTGCATTTCTCATAACATAGTTAATATCTTTCACATTTAATACGAAATAAAGTGGTATTTCGAAATTTTACGGTGGTAGGGTCACGCAGCAGCCTCGGCTGTTTCACGAATGGGCAGGCCGTCCGGGTTAGTACCACGACCTAACAGAAGACCAGCGTAAAGTGGAAGAATGACATACTTTCGCGTTTCGTCTGGTGAGTGAGGTAGCCGGAGCCCTATTTTCAAAAGGATGTCAACGCATCTGTAACCCTCAGGTGTGGCAGATGTCCATGGGCGGCGGTATTCACTTAACATCAGGTGAACCGTCTGCTCGTTTGACAACTTTTCGCATAAAATAAAATAAATACACTTACATGCACCAATTTCTTAACACTGGGTTGATCTCCAATAAAACCTTAACATAATAGGTATAATTTTTTATATATAAGTTGGCTATATATTAAATACACACTAATGTTTCTTAATAAATAATGGACGTGCAATAACTTTAGTTATAAAATAACAACATACAATTCGCTGAAAGTTATAAATGATCTAGATCAACAGACGAAAACGTATTATAAAAATTACAACGGATCAGGGACTGTCAACCTGTACCGATCACAGTGAATGCAATTATTGTTAGCATTTAGAATCTATTATCTTTTTAATTTTTACTCCGTATATTCTCTTCTATTCTACATATAATATAATAAGCGTGTGAGCCGTGCCTTTTTGGATATTTCCAATTTTTGCACTTTAGTTATCAGATGGGTTTGACAGTTATAAAAAGTGCTGACTTTTCTAAAAGATAATAATCTCCTCGAAAAGCTTAGGTTAGGCTCGTTGGTGGGATTTGAAATGACAGTGTGGCGATAATCAGCCACCGACTATTTCATACCGAAATCAGAACATCTGCATACAAATTGTACTGGAAGCAATAAAAATTTAATCCCGACAAAACAGTTGACCACCCCTGATTTGAGAATTGTCTCTGGATTATTCAAAACGTGTAGACGGAGGTGTCGAGTCCGGCGGCCGCCACGGTGCTGTCTATCCAGCTGCGTAGGCTCGCCACGTCCACGTAGACGCCCGGAGTGAGTTCCTCGCCGCACCCGATTCCCCAGGCGACCATGCCGCTCTGCATGTAGCGATCGCTTTGATCCTAAAAGAGGAATGATAAAATTTGCTCTCGTTTGGACTTTTTAGGGTTGCGTACTCAATTCAAATCAAATACCTTTATTCAATATAGAAGCATTACACTTTATTATTGATTGTCAAAATGCTACCACAGGTTCGGAAAGAAAAGCCACTGACCCGAGAAAAATTACCCTATTACTAAGAATCCGGTGTCTGTCTGTCTGTCTGTCTGTCTGTCTGTGTGTCCTTCTGTCTGTCATCGGGCTGTTTCTGATGAACCGTGATAGTTAGACAGTTTCACGATCCACGATCCTCGACGCAGAAGCCAATACCTTGGCAACTGCGCCACGGTGTCCTCAAAGTTACCATTTATCGACAAATGGTCAACAATGAACTCAAAGAAAGCAGTCGAAAAACTAAATAGTTCATAGAGTAGAAGGAGGGAGAATAGCTTATAAATGCCAGGCTTAACCTTAACACCGTAAGCATCAGTTAGCTTTTTAGTTCTGGAAATGGTCACAAATTTGCCGTGTAACTTTGGTTCCCAGTGCGCGTTTTGAGATAACCACGCGCGATAACGACGCTAAAAGTGGTAATGGCAAACGACGACCGCCGCCCATAGACACTTGCAACATCGGTTTTCACAATTGCGTTGCCGGCCTTAAGGTAGGAGGAGGCTTTTATTGAAGGTCCCTAAATCGTATCGTCGTTAACTGTGGTAGGGCCACGCACGTTTTGATTTGATTTGATTTCTGCGTTTTGTCTTGTGAGTGAGGTAGCCGGGGTGCACTTTATTTAAAGCTGGCAACGCATCCGCAACTCTACGGGTGTTGCAAACGTCCATGGGCGGCGGTTATCACTTAACATCCACTGCCAGATCGTTGGCCACTTTCTCACATAAAAAATGGGTTGTTTACTCACCGGTATAGGGCAGACGAGGGGCGAGCCGCCGTCTCCATTGCAGGTGTCTTTCCCTTTCTCGCCACCAGCGCACATGAAGGTGGGATGCAGCTGGAAGTAGCGCCCCAGCCGCGTGCCACGAAGCCGACCCTCGCACGTTCGCTTGTCCACCACGGGCAGCTCCAGCTGCCGATGGTATCAACAAATTAATAAATACTTCGAGACATTTTTAGGCGACGTCAAAGGGAGGAGGTTCTCAAATCGACTGTATTTTTTTTAATGATTGTGTACCTCAGAACTTTTGACCGAGCGAATCGATTTTGATGATTCTTTTTTTATCTGGAAGCTCATGCTTCCGATGTGGTCTCATATTAGTTTCATTATTATTATATGATATAACAATGGATGCGCCAAGCGTTGCTTCAAATGCTAAAAAAAATTAATGTAGATAAAAGACGTTAAGATATCCATCGGTGTGGCTATCAGCCGTTTAGCTCAGTGGCTAGAGGGTCAGGCCGCGATTGCCGAAGACGCGGGTTCGATTCTACAGCGGCGACAAAATTTTCGTACTTTTTCTACAAACTTTAACGTTTAATCTTAAGTGCAGTGATTAGCACTATAAAAAATTTAAATTTCTAGTTTCATTATGTTATCATTAGTTGCATTCATTACGTTATGTTATCTTGGGCTCCGGAGATTCTTAGGGAAGCCCTGAAAATGAATTATAAAATGAATACACAGCGAGATCTTTGAAGTCGGTTTTGTTTTTCGTTAGTAAAAAAGTGGTTATTATTACAAAACGTTATCTAGTACCAAACTAAGCAAAGCTTGTACTATGGGTACTGGATTACTGATAAAATTACTTAATACTATTATGGTTATTTCTATTATTCTGTTGTAAAATGCTATGGAAGAGCGGTGCGAGTGGCACCGGCCTTGGAACAACAAACTTTTGCTCTTACTTGAAAACTCTAAATAGGTACTTATGACTATATTAGATTAAGTTGATGAAATAAACATTTTTGTATTAAATTGACCGTTCGCTTGAAGCAGTTATTATGCTATTGGCTTCACCACGTGGTGATACATTTCCAAAAAATATTTTTTGTACTACAAACAGGCGCTCTGGATTTGGGTGTCTTCGTCTTTAATTTTTAGCAAAAACTACTTACGGGGTCTTATGGTAAAACTGTTACCATATGGGACTCTTCGCCAATTACCATCATGTGGGATAGCGGTCCAGGACTAGTAAGTTTCCCGTTCGCATGTCCTTAAGATGATTTTTAGTCTAAATCCACGTGAAGAAGGATTTTTACGATGGATTTTTTGAAAGTGTTTTTTATTAGTGTAAACGGCAAACATGCTAGCAGTAAATCTGCCCATAGACAACTCCAACAGCAGGGATCCCTCATCCAATTGAGGCCAAAAATATAAGTACTATCTTCCCCAACGCTCATCTTTCCATTAGGCCATAGTAATTGCCCTGTCGAGCCAGTTCATTCTTGCAGATGAAGCCACTTTTAGGACAATTCACACAAAATCTTTATAATTTATAGCCTACGTATATGTTATTCTGATGTATAAGCTATATTATTGTAAAGTTTCATTAAATAAAATTCACTACCTTTTGCGTGAAAGAGCAACAAACATCCATCCATACATACAAACTTTCGCGTTTACAATATTAGTAAGGAAGTAAGGAAGGAAGTGTATACTGCTATCACCAGCTCACCTTCTTCAGGATGACCTGATAGCTGCCAGCCTGTCCGAAGAGGTCCTTGCCCCAACCGGAGGCTAAGCACCTGGTACCAGGGAGTGGATTCAGCCCGGCTGGAGGGAGGCAAGCCAAGCCCACGTTGGGGGCTAACACCATTGGCAGCTTCAGGAATAAGAGGGCTACGTCGTGGAACAGATTATCTGCGGAGGAAGTTTACAGTAGTTTTATTAGCAATTAAATACGATAAAATTTGTAAGTGATTGATGGATAGATGAATGATAATATAAATCAATGAATTGAAGGTAAACGATATTCTAAATTGATATCGCAAGTTAGAATATCGTTTATTTTAAATTGACATCGCCAGAAAGCGAGCATAGCAGAGAAGTTTAAAAAATTTATTAAGAAGTTATGAGGCATCGATAAATAACGCGGCGGAGTGTTGGACTATGATTGAATAGAACATTTTACCCAGCATTGCAATTTAATACAGAATACTTCTATCCAATTACATATTGTAGCTGAAGCACTAAGCAATAATAATTTCTTTATGTATTTTATGACAGGTACCTAACTGACGAATTCGCCCTTTAGTAAAAGGTTTATTATAAGGTGTATTTTTTTGAAATATTTATGTAATAACATTTCGGACACATTTTAACACAACGTTCTCTGGTCCCAAACTAAGCAACGCAGGTATTATGGGTACTAGAAACCTGATAAACATACTTAAACATAAATTTCTTTTGTAAATAAATACATAGTACCCGGAGAACCGAGCTTTGCTCGGTTTGTTTTTATTTTGGTAAATCGTGTATTTTGGAAATTACATTTAGATACAAATTACTGAGTAATGAAATATGCATGTTTTTCGATCTTACCGACGTAATAATAAGAAAATATGAACTGTTGTTTTTCACAAAAGAAAGAACTTTAAAAAAAAAAAGGGAAAAAAATAACAAAATAACAAATCGACCAAAAATTAAAAATAACGAAAGCAATGATCTGGAATCGAAAAAAAAGTAAAAAAATAAATGTGTAAATGATCGTGACGCGAACCACGGCCGTCTGTTTTGGGGCCGCCCGATTACCGACCGAGCTATTTTGGCATTTTCTCTTGCGGCGAAATTTACCGTCATATTCGAATTATATTCTTCATTCCCTGAAAACAGGGATAAAAGGACATTTTCTAAAAATGAAACCTAGATAGATCGATTTTTCGCCCTCGAATCTACGCACATACTAAATTTCATGAAAATCGCTGGAGCCGTTTCCGAGATTCCGATTATATATATATATATATATATATATATATATATATATATATATATATACTATATTATATATATATAGTATATATATATATATATATCTATATACTATATATATATATATATATATATATATATCGACGCTTGAAAGGCAACCCTAACTAAGCGACAATAATCCGTAAAATGAGTTATATATACCATTCGAATCACCAGAATTTTTCGCGTCGTTTGATCTGAGTCTCATGGTTCTACGACGAGTTTTTTGTCGCTTAGATATTGAGAGATTTCGGTCAAAATCTACATAATGTGCTTACTAAACGACAAAAAAATATTCATTTTAAGAATATGCAGCACATCGACATTTTGAAAATTAGGAATATGAACTTAGTCGGTTTCTTATATATTGACTTTTTCATTTATTTGTATTTACGTATTTTTACTTGTTATGAAATTTCCCTTTGAAACTACTTAGTAGATCTTACCTACAAAAAGCAATTGTAATTCATGTGGTTACGTATTTTAGCTTGTTATTATATTTTGTGAATGTGTCTTTTTTATAAGTTAACCTGAAATAAAGCGGAAGAAAATTAGAGCTTAGATATTTTTAGTTGATAACGGTTAATGTTAATGATGTCGGTTATATAGTTCTACTTGATTTTCTAAATGACCAAGCATGGCGAGTAGATAAATTTACCCGTACGCAAATTTTATTTTCCCGTCGCTAAGGAACTGCGTAAGTTTCAAAAACTTTGTATAGATATACACGATACGTGAAGTGACACGCCTATACGGGTTCTCAACCAGGCGCCTGCAGTCGCTTAGGGAGGACGTATTTAACATTTTGGCGCAAATTCAATGAAGACATAGTAATCGATCAAATTATGCAAAACTCTCTCAAAACAGATAGTCACTTTATCTGCTGAACCAGCCATATTTATCACTTACCTCATATCACGATCTACCATCTACATCTGCAGGACTAAGTAGAGAATCAATCGTATCAAATCTAATCTAGCATTTTGAACGTTTTCTGGAATTTTGTTGTAGTAACGTAGGTATACATTATCCCATAAAACATTTACTTATTTTACGCAGTTTACTTGTGGGTAGGATCAATTTATTTTTGTTCCTAGTATTTATATCATGAACATTATTATGTCTTGAAAATTTATCCTTATTTTTATGGACATACAAACATTTTCAAAAATGTATTGAGAAGCAACAGTCAATACCTTTATCTCTTTAAACAAGTTTCTTAATGATTCTTTGGGGCCCAGATTGTAAACTGCACGAATAGCTCTCTTTTGTAAGATGAAGATTGTATTACTGTCGGCCGCGTTACCCCAAAGCAGAATGCCATAAGACATTATACTGTGGAAATAACTAAAATATACCAAGCGAGCCGTATGCACATCAGTTAACTGTCTTATTTTTCTGACCGCGAAAGCTGCTGAGCTAAGTCTACTCGCCAGTCTATTAATATGGGGGCCCCATTACAGTTTGGCATCAATAGTTATGTCAAGGAATACAGTTGAGTCAATAGGGTCCAACGCTTCTCCATTTAAAAGAACATCAGTTTTTACATGTTTAACATTGGAAGTTGTAGATTTAATACATTTAGTTTTTTTTATTATTCAACAGTAAATTGTTAGCACTAAACCAATGTACTACAGTGGATAGAGTATTGTTTACATCGTCATAACTTAAAGAACGTCGTTTTACTTTAAAAATTAAAGAAGTATCGTCAGCAAACAATACTATCTCATGATTATTATTAGCTAGATAAGGTAGATCATTTATGTAAATGAGGAAGAGAAAAGGCCCAAGAATAGATCCCTGCGGGACCTTCATATTTACCAGGGCCCCAGGAGATCTCTTGCCATTCACGTCAACTCTCTGTATTCGATGGCTCAAGTACGATTTCTGAAGATTGAGTGTGGCATCTCTTATGCCATAGTGGCGTAGTTTCCTGAACAAGGTCTGATGCTGTACACAATCGAAAGCTTTGGTTAAGTCACAGAATATACCTAAGGCATCCTGCGACTCTTCCCAGGCTTCAAAAATATTCATAACAAGCTGACACCCGCATCCGTTGCTGAGCGACCCCTAGTAAACCCATTTTGCTTGTTATGTAATAAATTATGAGAGCTAAAATGCTGTAACATCTGATTAAACAGGATTTTTTCAAAAACTTTACTAAGAGTTGGCAGGACAGGGATAGGTCTAAAATTATTGGGGTCGAAAGTACTACCAGATTTAAACACCGGAATGATTTTACTATGTTTCATAAGGCCAGCAAATTCGCCACGATTGATACAAATATTAAAAATAGTTGCTAGGTAAGGCGATATAGCATCAATAATAGAACTGATCACCTTAACCGAGATCCCCCATAGATCTGCAGAGAACAGGTTGTCACTCCATCTATTGGGTGTCGTCCTATACTGCGATGGCCAGTACGAGGCTGCCACTCGAGAACCTTTCTTCCCCAACGGTTATCAGTTCTACGAGCTATATGGCCGGCCCATCGCCACTTCAGCTCACTAACCTTCTGAGCTTTGTCGGTTACGTTTGTTCTACTGCGGATGTCTTCATTGCAAACTCTATCATGCAGAGAAATACCGAGCATAGCCCGCTCCATAGTTCGCTGAGCGATTTTGAGCTACCTCATACGGCCAGCAGTGAAGGACCACGTATCAGTCCCGTATGTCATCACTGGCAGCACACACTGGTTGAAGACTTTAGTCTTCAAACATTGAGGTATATTCGGCGAGAAGATTTGCCGAAGTTTCCCGAACGCTGCCCATCCGAGTTGAATTCGCCGATTGACCTCTGCGTCGAAGTTGAACTTACCTAGCCGGACTAATTGTCCTAGATATACATATTGATCAACAAATTCGAGCACAGTGCTCCCAACAATAACATTAGACATGATCTTCGTCTTGTCCATATTCATATTAAGGCCCACCCGTTGAGAGGCACTGTTTAAGGTCATTGAGCATAGTACTAAGGTCCGCCTGCGATTCTGCCATGATGACTATACGTCGGCATATAGAAGATGGGTGATGTATTCGCCATCGATGTTTATACCACGTTCTTTTCAGTCCAGAAGCTTGCAAACATTACTATGTTTAATAGTTTATTCATGATAATTCATTTACCTAAAATTGTTAGTTATAGTTTTTTAGAAAATGAGTCATCTTCATGATAGTGTAATTTATGATTGCGACTGCAATAACAATTATTCAATTTAAGATGATCTCAGACTAAATGTTATGTTAGGTTAATTAGTTTCCTTATTTAATTTTGTACGTAGCGCATTTGTTTAATTTTAATAAAGAATTTTATTCCACATAATTGATTTCATTTATTTTTGTGCTTGATTTACCCATACAGTTTTTGATTTAATGTCAATTACGAAGCTAGGTTTGGAGTAATTTTAATAACTAGATAGAATTTCCATAATCACAAAAATCATTAAATAATGGTTAGGTAAATTTACTTGATTTATTAATTTAAACTCTGATTATTTTAGATCAATTTTTCTGTATCAAAATTTTAAACTAAGTAAATTTACCTATTTTTACATGTTACAGCATATGCTACAGTGATGACTTATATAATTTTACCTGTTTATGAAATCAGGTAAATTTTATCTACCCGACACAAACTGGTGTTTATAAAAGTGTGAGCTGTCTTATTGTGACAATTTCAATAGCCACAAAAAAATTAATTCTACCAGTGTTATCATCATTTAAATCGAACGATAGGTTGGATTTTTATGATTTTTTAAATTTATATTTGAACTTTAAATCACTCTCCTGTAAAATTTGCTAAGTGTCGCTTAGTTAGGGTTGCCTTTCAAGCGTCGATATATATATATATATATATATATATATATATATATATATATATATATATATATAAAATCGGAATCTCGGAAATATACGAGCAATTCTTGTATATATATATATACAAGAATTGCTCGTTTAAATAAATACATATTATACATATACAAACACCACACACTGGAAACGCATAAATATCATCACACAATATTTTTCCAGTAGGATCGAACCCACACCCTCTGGCGCAAGAGGCAGGTACACTACTCCCCACGCCAATCGGGTCGTCAAATATTTAAACCCAGGGCATATACTTACTCTTGTTGTATTGCTTGTGCGCCACCACCCTGGCCACGTCGCGGTCCTGGTGGGGGTAGGGCTCTTTAGTGGTCTGGGTGTCCCACTCGCCGGCGCGTGCCACCAGGTTGCCACCACCAGCTACGTGAGCGGCGGTGAGCACCACGCTCGGGTGGATTAAGGAGCCACCACCAACATACACCTGCATTAGCTGCCCCGAAGGCAGGCCCCCACTGTTGAACAGCGGCTTCGACCTGGAAGCCAACTCAGCCTTTTACAACCGCGACTTAATACGAAATTAAATAGTTAGACTTCCGAATTGATTTTTTTTTTGTGAAAAGTTGCCATGCGAGCAGGCGGTTCACCTGATGTTAAGTGAACACCGTCACCCATGGACATCTGCTACACCCGAGTGTTGCAGATGTGTTGACAACCTTTTGAAAATTGGGCTCCGGCTACGAAACGCGAAAGTATTTATTATACTTCCACTTTACGCCGGTCTTCTGTAAGGCCGTGGTATTTACCCGGACGAGCCTGCCCATTCGTGCAACAGCCGAGGCTGCTGCGTGGCCCTACCACAAATGTATCTTAAATACTGCATCTGCTGCCGCGAAGTCCGCCTCTTGCCTTTTAGACCAGTCAACATTAAATGAAAATTAAAAAAAAATAACCTCAAAATGGCGACCATCCACGGGAACTCGGCAAACTTGGCCTCGCCGTCAACGTCACCGATGGTGAGCAGCCCCACTCCGTTAGGGTTCCGCCAACCGCACCCCGGACGCTGGCAAATAATTGGATATGGTCAAAGGGCTGTTCTGAATCCGCAGCCAAGGGTACGAACCCAGCGCAAAAAACAAGGACCCCCAAATCGACTATGCTATTATAGTAAACTATGAAGTAAGGTAGAAGGCCAAGGCGTCCTCTGCACAGATGATATGAGGGCATAATCCACCACGCGACCCGACTGCGGGTTGACGGACTACATGTATGTTGGAATTTTTTGTTATTGTTTCGAAAATATGCTTGTTTCCTCAAGGCTTTTGCCTTCCACCGCTTAGCACGTGATAAGTCAGCACTTAAAATAGTCAACGATTTCGTTTGTGCCGGCTACGGGAATTGAATTCGGGTTGCTCGTGTTAATAAGAAATAGCGAGTGCCTGAAAATTTAGCTATTACGGAACGATTTAATAATTATTTATAGACATGAATATGTTAATACAAAGCGTTTTCTTAAGGTTATTCTATGACTTTTTATGGGCCTCTGTCTCACTTCATGTGACCCAACTCACGGAATACGCAATACATGAACGTCAAAAGATAATAATTACCTTAACCGTAGACTTGTGACGGATATTTGGTTATAATTGGGTGTTCGGTCTTTTCAGATAATTTTAACGAAAGCCGAATATATTATTATATAATAAAAATATTGTATTGTAAACAAATGATTAAATGAAAAAAATCGATTTATTTAACAATAATGTATGACTCTTAACAACTCTTGTGCATAATAGACCTGAGGTGAACTTGACTTTAAACTGTGGTACGATAGTAAAAAATTAAACATGAGAAATAACTGATTTAGATTCTAATTATCGTTTAGATAAACTATATCTTACTTTAACCGGATGCTAAATTAAGACATCGTTAGTGATGAAACATAATTGTCTACGCGATCACATTCAAAAACCTGCATAAAATCCATAATAGGCTTTTCAGTTCAAAAAAATTACTTTCAAAGATCATCTTAACAACCTACCTGGTTGTTGTGTTGTTGCAATGTCGTAGAGTCAAAATGGACGACTGTATTGTTATCGTGTAAACTAAAAGATAACCGTTGGAGAAGAAAGGTTCTTAAATGGCAGCATCTTAGCGAGGGAGGGCTCCCCACTAGATGGAGTGACGACTTGTGCAAGTGTGCGGGAAGTCGATGGATGCAGGTGGCTCAGGATCGTGTCCGTGGCATTCTGTGTGGGAGCCTATGTTCAGCAATGGACTCAAACAGGCTGATATGGTGATGATGAAACTAAAAAAAGTTGGAGGCAACGAGGTGCTGTACCAAGGTGGACTACTTCCTACCTGAGAACTAGGAGTCGGAGTGACATTTGGTGCGATTTGTATGTCTGGTGGCAGACAGCAGGAATCCAAGTATGACGTGCAGGGCCCGTCGCGTGCTCTGCAAAGTGCGAAAAGTTCATTCTTCTTAATCCGTAATTAAGGTTTTTTCTTAATGTTAGAAGGAGTCAAGCGAGCTGGCGGTTCACCTGTTGCTAAGTGACTACCGCCGCCAATGGACATCTGCGACACTTATTAGTTTGCAGGCTACCTCACCCAGAAGACGAAACGCAGAGGTATAACACTTCCACTTCACGCCGGTCTTCTGTGAGGTCGTGGTACTTCCCCGGACGGCCCTGTCCATGCAATGATGCGTTCTGTGATAGATCACAGTTGAAAGGTTAGAGTTAGAGAAATAAATACGTCATTTTTGACAATATCTTTGAAAAATTATGTTTTTTTTTTAATTTTCTTATCTTGTGGCGATGCGGGATTCGTATCTGCGTCTTCTGGTTTCGCGCCCAAAAGACGAAGACCAGCACGAAAATATAATATCTTAAAAAATCCTATTACATTGCTTTGTTTAACAATATTTTAATTCGGTACTAGAGGTATTCTTATGTGTGACTTTTAATGTACTCTGTCTTGACAAGCTCCCTGTGAATTTCTTAAAGTTAAACTACAAATGCGGTAACTAACTGTGGTAGGACCACGCAACAGTATTGGCTGTTGCACGAATGGGCAGGTCCGTCCGGGTTTGTACCACGACCTCACGGAAGACTGGCGCAAAGTAGGAGTGTTGCACTTCTGCGAAACTGCCCACTTTGTTGAAAGGTGGCAATACATCTGCAACCGATGTTGCAAATGTCCGTGGGCGACGGTTATCACTTAACGTCAGGTGAACCGCCAGCTCGTGTGCCACTTTCTAACAAAAAAGAATAAGAAAAACATACCTGATGTCGATGACGTTGCTACCATCAGTGTTCGCAGTGCCGTTGCTGTTGCACAGGTAATACATGACGCACTCGCCGGGTAGACCATCGACGGTCAGACAACTCTCCCTTTCGGCTGCTGGAGAACAGAACTACTGAGCTTATAGGCCGTTGAAGCATCTCAACTAAAGAACTGGCCGCTGAATCGGAATACTCGAAGAAAAGTATATATGCGCTTTGAGTTGGTTAAAAGGTGGTAGGGCCACGCAACACTGTTGTGCGAATGGGCAGGTCCGTCCACGTACGGTAAGTACCACGACCTCACAGAAGATCAGTAAAAGTGAAGTACGAAACATCGTATGGTGAGTGAGGTAGCCGGGGCCCACTTTATTGAAGGTGGCAACGCATTTGCAACCCTACGAGTGTTGCAAATGTCCATGGGCGGCGTTGCAAATGTCAGGTGTAAATGTCAGCTCGTTTGTCACATAAAAATAAATCCTTGAGCAACGTAAAATGAAATCTCATGCCAGCGTCAACGGAATAGTTAATTGCAATTTTAAGTGCTGACTTGGCACGTTCTCAAAGGCCAGTAAAACCTCTGTACAGAGGACGCCTTTGCTGAGTAGTGTGACATAATATAGGCTGTTAACTGGCTTAACCTTTGTCTTGCTTTACTTTTTTGTAAAAATTGCCTGCCAGTGCAATTACAGTGCAGCAACGAGGTTAGTTAATAGGAAGAATAAAACCTCTTTACAACACTATAGCGGTGTTGCGTTCATAACTAATTTCCAAATGCGTACCTGCGCTCACGGTGGGGGACGTAGTAGACGTGAATTCAAAGTATTCCATTATGGCATCCAGGTCCCCCCCATCCACGTCGCCACGGCAGCCAACCAGGGTGGCCAGTATAATGACGAGTGCAGCCCCCAACATCTATAAAAGTAAAGTAACAGCCTATATGTGTATAATATTGTATATGTGTGCGTGGCTGCGTCCGCGCCCCGATATTGTTGACAAATTAAAGCCAGTGCGTTGACAGCTCTTGAGTGTTTCACTAGTCCCTGTGCTCCGTACTTCGAACATAACATTGGCGACGAGGACTACCCGCGTTAAGTAAAAAAAAAAAAAAGAAAAAAATGTCGTTCAGCTGTGGGACGTTACCAACGTTTAACCATGAAATACAAGCATGGAAGATATTTAGAACACGAATTACTCAGTGGTTCATGGCGAATTACATAAATGTGTCAAGCGATGCCGCAGGAGTAAAACGTCGAGCGATACTGCTCAGCGCACTCGCCGATGGTACGTTCAAGCTAGCCTCGGATTTGGTCGTACCGAAGGATCTACAAGAAGTACCGTTCGAAGATATAATGGCCATATTGGATACCCATTTCACGCCGAAGCAGATTGGGTTTAGCGAGCGCCACAATTTTTATGCTGCCATACAACAAGCGAACGAGTCACCATCACAATGGGCCGCTGGGTTACGTGGTCTGACTGCTCATTGCCTATTTTCTGACGTGGAAGAAGCACTAAGAGACCGGTTTATCATGGGTATGCTGCCGGGAGCTGAAAAAGAAAAGTTGTACACACAAGGTATTTCGGGTATGACATTGGCGAAAGCTGTGGAGTTAACGGAGAACATAAGGTGCGCGCGAGCGGTTGCCGCAAGTGCCACCACCGCTGCTGCCGTCACTGAAATCACCGTAGAACAGCTGTACAAGATCGGTCAAGAATCTAAGAGCGTATGTTCTCTTCAAAAGTGCACGGTGTGTGGCTACACGAGCAACGATGCTGCGGAGTGTCGTTTCGCGAATTACAAATGTAAAAAATGTAATGAGAAGGGACACTTGCGGAGAATGTGTAAGGAAGTGAACTACATAAATACGAGTGAGGCCGATGAGGAAGGTGACGATGGTAAGTTATTCAATATACGATCGGTTAGGGGCGAGCCTTTAGTTCAAACGGTGACGGTCAACGGCATAGATTTAAAATTTGAAATCGATAGCGGGTCGGCAGTGACGGTTATTTCGGAAAATACGTATAACTCATACTTTAATGACGTGCCATTGTCATTTACGAAAAGAAAGTTAGTGAGCTATACGGGGGCGAACTTAGGTTGCGCCGGCCGCGCCCGGATGGCGGTTCAGTGGCAGGGGCGAACATGTATACTAGATGTTTACGTAGTTCGAAATGGCGGCCCGCCACTGCTCGGTAGGGATTTCATTGCACAATTTGAACTTCAATTGACACCAATTCAATATTGTAAACAAATAAAAAAAGAAAATCGAATCGCTTCATTTACATTACCCCAGAGCGTTTTCGGGGGAACTAGGATGTTTTAATAAGTATGAAGTAAAGTTGACTTTGAAAGAAACAGCTAAGCCATTTTTTTCAAGCCGCGTCCTATTGCGTTCGCTTTAAGAGACAAAGTAGATAATGAATTAAAAAGATTAGTCGACCTAGGAGTACTTCGTCCCGTAAATTATTCGGAATATGCGTCTCTATTATGCGGGGAGCGCGGGGCGTACAGAGCCCGCCGGCCTCGATGACCGCGCAGCATATGTTTGTTTTGTTGTTAAGGGCGCGTTGCCTATCACGTTACAAGCGTTACGGGATGCAACGAACAAAGATGTCATATTAAAAAAGGTTGTACATTATATTTTAAGCGGATGGCCTAAAAAGGTTAGTGACCCTGAGATCAAACCTTATAGTATGTGCAAGTGGGAACTTTCATATGAGAATGGTTGCATTATGCGTGGTCATAAAATCGTTCTCCCTGACTCGTTACGGAATAGTGTTATTTCAGAGTTACATACGACACTTATTCAGTTATTTCAGACTTACATACATCGCACTTAGGCATTGTTAAGACAAAAGCTGAAGCACGCGCCCGGTTTTGGTTTCCCGGCATTGACGGTGTCCTTGAACGCATGATTGGCTCTTGTGAAATATGTATGCAACTTCGAGCATCGCCACCAAGTGCTCTTATTTCACCATGGAAGTACCCCACTCAACCCTTTCAACGCGTACATCTTGATTTCCTCGGCCCATTGAACGGACTTATGTACTTAGTAATCGTAGATGCGTACTCCAAATGGGTCGAAGTATGTAATATGAAATACTCCTGTTCCTCCACCGCAGTTATTGATAAAATTTATGAATATATGGCGAGATTCGGGTTGCCAGAAACAATAGTGACTGATAATGGGGCATCATTTTGTTCGCGTGAATTCTTAAATTTTTGTAAGCTTAATGGAATCGCACATGTTACGTCACCCGCTTATCACCCTGCAAGTAATGGACAAGCTGAGAGTTATGTTAAAATAATAAAAAAGGGTATGAAATCAAGTTTGTTAAGCATTAGCAATATTAGGGAGTGTAATTTAAATTTACAAAAGTACATTTTTGATTACCGAAATTCTGTCCATTCTATGACGGCTTTATCTCCGGCACAAATAGTTTTTGGTCGTAAATTAAGATCGCGGTTAGATATATTAAAACTAAGACCATCGCCGCCCCTATCAGCCTCACTCGCCAACGCGGTCAAGTCAAAACAGTGTTCACAGGTTAAATCACAGGGGGGGAAACAAAAAGTGTTTTCACTAGGAGAAAACATTCTATATAAAAAATATTATAATAAAGATAAATTTAAATGGTGTGAAGGTATAATTGTGCGTAAACTTGGTAAAATGTTGTGTTTAATAAGAGACTCTTTAACTGGTAGTTTTGTAAAAAAACATGTAAACCAAATGTTGGTATATAAAGGCATAGTTAGTGTAAACAAACATTGGGAGTCTGATTTTCAATGCCCTGATGACCAAGAAGGTTCAGCACCGACACATGCATCACTGTTGCCCACTGCCACACTGTCACATGCGCAAACCAATGAGCAAGACTGCGTCCGTGAGGAGGAAGAAGGGCAGAAAGATACAGTGACACCTACACTGGCGGCTGATTCTTCTGCGGAGAACGTGACTCCCCCTGGCGATAACTCCCAACAATTACTTTCACCAGAGCATGTCACAATAACGAGGGGAGTTCGGCGACCACAGTATTCGGATGATGAAGACATGGCAGAGGCTGACAGGATATCACGGGCACAGGAACAACGAAAGTTTCCGAAACGAAATCGTCCTAAGGTTGATTACAAAAAGTTCTTTTAGTAGGTCATGTTTGTGTAACGTAATAACCTTAGTATAAGGGGGAGGAATATTGTATATGTGTGCGTGGCTGCGTCCGCGCCCCGATATTGTTGACAAATTAAAGCGAGTGCGTTGACAGCTCTTGAGTGTTTCACTAGTCACTGTGCTCCGTACTTCGAACATAACATATTACATGTCCCACTGCTGGGCAAAGGCCTCCTCTAAATAGAGGGTATCAGAGCAAATCCACCACGCGGCCCCACTGCGGATTGGCGGACTTCACATATCTTCGAAATATATATATTTTTAGTTACTATTTCGAAAATATGCAGCTTTCCTCACGATGTTTTCCTTCACCGCGGAGCACGTGATAAGTCAGCACTTAAAGTTAAATACTTCATTGGTGCCGGCACCGGGGATCGAACTCAGGTTGCTGGAGTATATTGAATTAAAAGCAAGCGCCCGAACACTGAGCTATCACGGCTCACCCAACATCTATAAGATGATTTTATTAGAGAAGGTGTACGAACTAGCGGATATTCTGGTACCTAAGTCCGGCCACCGCTAGTTGATAATTTCGCAATTTGTCTAATAAGCGAGGAAGATTCCCTCACTCTTTGGAATATTAATTTCTCATTAATCCTATAATATACTTGTACACCAAAAAATAAAAATAAAAAAGTACAAAAAACAATATATTCATCAAATATCGGTCATCAAAAGGCGGCCTTATGCTACACAGTAATTTCTCATATATTCTCATATATCTAATATACATTCATTATCATCATTAAAGCCTTGTTCAGATAGCGTTCGTTTGTAAAAAAAATATGTTCCTTTAATTTCTATTATATATATATATATATATATATATATATATATATATATATATATATATATGATCAGAATAATCAATTCAAAGAGTTTAACCATCCTTTTGGCAACTCAAATAACATTTGAAAAGCCATTTGACAGCTGATTAGTTAATTTCTACGATGATGAGTGTTTCAGAAACCGGACGTAACTGTGTTATTGCATAGCTTACAAGTTTTGAGTGTCCCGGACGACATAAGTAAATGTATATTTATAAGTGTATATTTCGTTTTGTTCAAAGTATATAGTTTGTTTCTGACAAATAGGTTATATACTATCTGTGGGCTGCCAAATACTTGTCCTGTGAGGTAATCGAACCCTCGACCCATTAGCGTCGAAACCTATAACTTAGTGTTAGCTATACTTTGTTTTATCGAGCTAAGAAGGTAGAAATATAAATACTTTTACCAAATCACCGTAGTTTTACTTTGCACAACAATAACACTGATATAATTACTTTTTTTATCACTTTAATATCACTAATGAAACACCACTCTAGATACCGATTGGGCAGCACTATCGCGTATACATCTTGATGACAGCCAGAGAAAGACGAAGACGACAAAAACCATGAAATGCTTCTTGCAGCTTCATTTATACCTCACAGAATGACACTTCTTTTAGTGTTGCCAACAACCTCAAGGAGTGATTTCCTTTAGTGTTGCCAACATTAGTCATACTGAATTCATTAGTGAAAATATTATTTACGATTATTTCTCCTTTCTCCGCCAACAAAAAATAAATGAAACACGAAACCGAAAGTAATATAAACATTAATAACGTGTTTATTTCCTAATAAATAATAGTTTGAAAAAGCAAAACAAAAAAAAACACGCTTTTGTAGATAACCGAACTAAAAACTAGAAAATGAATTTCAATAAATTTAATTTATGAATAATTTGATTAAAAAAAATAAAAGCGCGGGGTGCTTGGACTCAATTGTTGTAATATTTTAATGACAATATCTTAAAAAGCACCCCAAGCCTATAAGGCTTCATTACAACCAAAAGTAAAATTCCATTTAACAAAAGACCAGTTAGAAATATTGATACGCTAATTGTAATGACAGATTATTATATTTAAAAAGTAACTTACCTGTCTTCTGGCGCAAACGGGAGAAAACATTATGAATTGCACCACAGGCTATAAATTAAATATAAACTTTATTGTATTATCCGTATTAAAATGCACGTAAGTTTTCAAACTCAAGTAATGCACGCGTGTTCGTACAACCGCGTAATTCCTTCAACTGTCACACAAAAGTTTTGTTATTGAGTATTTATTACTATTGTCATTAATTCAGGAATGTGACAGATAAGTAAATGGCATTGTACATTAGTTATTGTTGTACGTCTTCGATACATTCGTTTTGGACCAGAGTCAGATTGCGGGTTTCTACAGATGCAGGGGTGCAAAGGTCGCGTTGATATAAAGGTTAATTGAGGAGAGGCACATAAGTTTTCTCGTTGTCATCTACGCGGTTCAAATTACTTAAAAAAGTATGTGTGTACTTATGTACGCACATAAGTAGTTATAATTCTCAAGCGTGACAATAGAAAAATAATTAAAAATTTTATCCCCTGTACCTTACTCTTTGTTTGCGAAAAATACCATTAAATGCTACTGATAACGGTTTTATTAAATAACTTACGAAACTAAAAGAAATCTAAAAAAGGTCTCAGTTCTCTAAAGTCGATCATTTTGCAACCAACTTCATGGTGTTGATTTTGGTTGTTGGTAGGCGAACGCATCGTAAAAACTTTTTCTCATAGTTTTTAACAAACGCACAAAAAGAAGTATAACTTCAAAATATCCAAAAATTTCATTACAAAAATTAAATATGTATTATTCGCCCCTTTAAACATTTTTAGGGTTCTAAACCCAAAGGGTAAAACGGGACCCTTTTTCTAAGACTCCGCTGAGGTCTGTCACAGGCTGTAGTAGCCTGGTGACAGACCTTGGTTCATGAGACCTCAGATGTCTCATGAACCGTGATAGTTAGTCAGTTGATGATTTTCACAGATGATGTATTTCTGTTGCTTTTTTATTTGCTTGTTGTTAACAAATACTAAAATACAATTAAAAAAAAAATGAAGTGGAGCTCCCATACAACAGACATGATTTTTTGCGGTTTTTATACATGCGGAACCCTTCGTGCGCGAGTCCGACTCGCACTTGGCTGGTTTTTTGCGGCTACTCACCTGATGAGTGATAACCTAACTTCTGGATATCCCAAATGCCTATGATGATGTAGCTGTAGTTATCAATTATTTCCACAGTGATAGGGTATTTCGCAAAAGCAGGGGAAACTCCCCGACTGTGTGATGTGAGTGTACGCAATAATGGCTGTATTTAAATATTGCCACTGCCTAATCAGTGTTTTCTTAAATACTGACTGTGTGTTTATGTATTGATGTCAATAAAATATGAAATTTCCGTAGCTAAAATAATAAGATTTAGTCAAGTTTTTACTCAAAATTTAGCGAATTCCGCAGATTTTTAATCGAAAACTATTTTAAAGATGACATTTTTCTATCAATTAATTGATGTTAATAGATAATTTCCGAAGTGGAACGTGTATCGTTCGAGTGACCTGACTTTTAATAATAATAATCACTCAACATCTGGTCAACAGACCCCTCGATTGCCACAACGCAAAAAAGCGGCCAAGTGCGAGTCGGACTCGCGCACGAAGGGTTCCTTCCCATTATTTATAAATACGTCAAAAAAATCATGTCTGTTGTATGGAAGATGATCACAGATAAATTTCCGTTGCGGCTATAATAACAAATAATAAAATACAGAATAAAAAAAATATTAAAGCGTGGCTCCCATACGACAGACATGATTTTATTGCCGTGTTTAGGGTTCTGTACTCAAAGGGTAAAACGGGACCCTATTTTCTAAGACTACGCTGTCTGTGTGTCTGTCATGAACCGTGATAGTTAGACAGTTGAAATTTTCACAGATAATGTATTTATGTTGCCACTATAACAACAAATACTTTAAAACAGAATAACAAAATATTTAAGCGGGCTTCAATACAACAGACATGATTTTTTGTCGTATTTATAGATAAGTAGCTTTTCGCCCGCGGCTTGGCTCGCGTTGAAACCCTTAAATAAATATCTTACATTAAAAAGTTTTTCCAATTAAAAAATAGCCTATGTCCTTTCTCAGGCTCTAGGCTATCTGTGTACCAAATTTTTTGTAAATCGGTTCAGCAGTTTTAGCGTGAAAGCGAGACAGACAGACAGAGTTACTTTCGCATTTATAATATTAAGCATGGATGGTACAGAACCCTTCGTGAGCGAGTCCGACACGCACTTGGCCGGTTTTTATCTACTGTTGTAAGGAAGGCAAATTCAAAATTATCAAGCCAAGTTATTTTATTAAATTAACACATTGTTTATCCATTTATAAAGGTCAAAACTTTCACCGTCAGTTATTTCTATGTGTTACACATTAGGTTATAATATCTAAAATGACCACAACTAGATGCAAGGGTGACCAGTAGATATCGCAAAGTCGATGGATGCAGGGGACTCAGGATAGTGCATTGTGGTAGCCTGTGGAGAGATCCAAGTTCATCAGCGGGCATAAACCTGAAATTATGATGAAGATAATTTAGGGGATCTAGGATCAACTAATAATACAAGAATTGAGCTTAGCTTTGCGCAGTCCCTCAATATGGGAAATTATAAAATCAACATGTATTGGGTTGGCAACTAAATAATTGCAGATTTGTTACATGAAATTAAAGGATTTTTAACTTGGAATGAAGTTTGTTCGATGACCTTTTACCATCTTTCTGAAAATTCCATGCCCGTATAAAGTCTGCTCCTTTTCGGTCAAAAAATGAGTTAAGCGAGATTTTGAGCGTCATCACCACTGAAAGTTTTTTTATTACGAAGTGATTTGCTTAGAGATTGAAATAAGTGGTAATCCGATGGCGCGAGATCAAGGCTATATGCTATATAGTGGGTGCAGCATTCCCAACATTAAGAACTTCGATTCGATTAAAGCAAAATATGGCGAAAATGTTCGTCTCTGCACTCCATATTAATATTGGGTAAAAAAAACTTACCTAAAATATCATACATACGCAATGTAAAGCTAGCTAAAGATGACAGCTAACATTAAGAAGAAGAAAATCATAACATTTACGGATATCATAAAGACTGGAATGAGAAATCACTTAGTTGCCAATGTATTACATTGATCATTTGGAATATTATAAACCATTTATTATTATTATACTTGTCAAAATCCAGAAACAAACAGTCATTAGCGCTTATATAATATCAATAGTCGTCCGTCTGTCTGTTAACAAACTCTGCTGACGGAAATTGACCAATTTGCGATATGACCTCAGCCATGTTGTTTAAGCATGCGGAACAATGTCGCAATTCTGGTGAGTGTCTGCTATGAAGTTTATGTCATTGTTAAGCGACCAAATAGTTGACCGTTGTCGCCAAATATAAATATGGTACAAAACTAAAGTATCAGCCTATACATGTCCCACTGCTGGGCAAAGGCCTCCTCTGTACAGAGGTTACAGGTAATGAAAAAATTCAATTACAAAAAAAAGTGAAACACGTTTTTATACACACTAAATATTACATAAAAATTGGGTTCGATATAGCTCCCGTTTGGTTCCATGTATAGTAGTATAGTGTAGTAACAGCCTATATATGTCCTATTTGTGGGCAAAGGCCTCTTCTATACGGAGGATATCAGGGCATCGTCCACCAAGCGGCCCCACTGCGGATTGGCGAACTTCACATATCTTCGAAATATTTTTTTGTTATTATTTAGAAAATATGAGTGTTTTTTCACAAAGTGTTCCTTCCCGCGAAGCTCATGATAAGTCAGCAGCTTTCGGATTATTGACAATGACGAGAGAAATGATCACCTGAGTTTATTTTTGCAATGTATTCTTGAGCCCGATTACTTTTATTTTAGTTGATAATTATCCAAATTGTTTTGGATTTTTTTTTATGCGGCAAGCGAAAGCGACCTGGCGGTTCACCTGATGTTAAGTGAATACCGTCGCTCATGAAAACCTACGAGTACAATACAAAGGCTTGCAGATGCGTTGGCGACCTTTAAAATGTGCGCCCCAGTTACCTCACTCACCAGACGAAACGCAGAAGTATGACACTTCCAATTCGCACCGGTCTTCTGTGAGGTCGTGGTACTTTCCCGGACGGACCTGAACGAATGACCTGACCTTTTGAAAGGTAAATGCAAAAATTCCCTCATTTCGACCGCCTTGATTGGAATGCAGCTAAAGCTTTTCACCGAATGAGCGGAAGACAGCGGACCTTGAGGTCCATTTGCAATATTTACTACTTCTAGAAGAAGTTCCCTCTTCACGAACGATTCGCACATTTAAACTACAGTTTATTGCGATTCTTGTTTTCTTCGTTCCCTTCTCCGTCAAACAAATAAATATATAAGCATTCGATCGATATCAAATAAATAAATATATTGTTAGAAATAGAAACATTAACTGATATTTTAAAAGAACTCGTAGGCCAGACTACATAGGAGTTGAACTATAATTCTAAGTAACCGACACAATCGTTATTAATTCGTGTAGAGTTTCAGCACGGTGCTTCACACTTTTTTGGGCTGGATGAGCCATTGTTTGCTTTAGGAGCCTTTATAGGTCCGATGGGCATGAGGTGGCCGGGTGCTCGGGGCGCCTAGCCTGAACCTCGGCGTATTATTATTACGCGTTATGGTGACTAAGTTCGAGGGCTCCCGAGGGAGCCTCTGCTCGGGCCGTCAAGCTATTATTATTACCGGTAGAGTAGCTCTTAGGACGCTTTGGCGGGCGCTCCATGGAGTGACCAGGCTCAAGGGTCCCCGAAAGGGGACCTCGGCTTGGGCTTCACTCAACACGCGTTTAGCATTCCGATTCGAGGGTGCCCGAGAGGGCCGGACCTCGGCTCGATCGGTAGCTATTATGACTTCGGTGAGCGCTGTTCGTTTTATAGTCCGTTGCAGTGTTGCTATTCGATGTTTCGATCTATTTCCAACAATATAACAGTCGTGGGTCTTTTGAGAGGTCGTGCTACTTCCCGGGAGGACCTAGAATTAAGGTTAAAGGTTGTAACTCATTTTTTTTGACAAGCGAGGTCAATGAAACAGCGGCAACAATCGAGGGTCTTTATTGGGTTCAGTAGGTGTACGAGTCCGTGCTGAAGCCGAGGGCGGCCATCTTCGCGTCCACCCACGGCCGCAGGTAGGCGATGTCCGCGTAAACCGCCGGGTAAGTCTCCCCGCAGCCGAGGCCCCACGCCACCATACCGCTCGCCATGAAGCGGCCGCTCTGCTCCTGATATTTAGACAGTTGAAACTTTTACGGATGATGTATTATTGTTGCCGCAATAACATCAAATACTAAACAACCGAACAAAAAATATTTAAGTGGGGCTCTCATACAACAGACATGACATGTTTTTATAGATAATGATCCTGCGGTTTTATGCGCTAGTGACAGTCTATATGTTGCCCGCCAAAAGTAACAGCCTATATGTGTCCCGCTGAACGTAACAGCATATACGTGTCCCGCTGAAAATTACAGCCTATATGTGTCCCACTGAACGTAACAGCTTATACTTGTCTGTCAGTAACAGTCTATACATGTCCAGCTGAAAGTAACATCATATACATGTCCAGCTGAAAGTAACAGCCTTGACGTGTTCCGCTGAAAGTCACAGCCTGAAAGTGTGTGTCACTGCTGGACAAAGGCTTCTTTACTGAGAGCATTAGGGCCACCACGCGACCCCTCTGCGGATCGACGGACTTCATATAACAGTAAAGTAATAATATACGACCACTTCTAGACAAAGGCCCCCCTTGTAAAGAGGATATAAAGGCATAGTCCACGCGACCTGCGGATTGGCTCACTTTTCACATCTTCGAATTTCCTGATATTATTTCGAAAATATGCCGGTTTCCTCACGAACGATCTTTTCCTTCACCGCTGTCAAGTCAGCACATTCATAAACTTAAAAGTAACAATTTCGTTGGTGCCGACACCGGGCGGGCGCCCAGACACTGAGCTATCACGGCGCGATTCTGTATCATAACTATACACATGCAAATGGTAATATATTTTCTTAAGGAATAAGAAAACGCACATGCGACAAGTGTGTCCACTTTCACCAGACATGTCCACGTGCGTGTCGCATGTCCACATGCGTATCACATGCTCACATGCATTACTCCACTTAGGTAAGGCTTATAAAGCTCGTGGAAATGAACCCTTTCCGATTCCGTGCCGTGTCCGATGATTGACAGCGGACCAGCCCACTTACCGGCACTGGGCACATGAGGGCGGAACCGCCGTCCCCCTTGCACGTGTCCTTCCCCACCTCCCCGCCGGCGCAGAGGAAGCTCTTGTGCAGCTTGAAGAACGCCCCCAGCCTGGTTGTGCGCAGCTGCTCCTGGCACGACGACTTGTCTACCACCGGCACCTCGACCTGCGTTTTTTTTGTCGAACTCTGCTTTAGGGTTCCGTACCCAAAGGGTAAAACGGGACCCTATTACTAAGACTCCGTTGTCTGTCTGTCTGTCTGTCTGTCTCCAGGCTGTATCTCATGAAACGTGATGTTTAGACAGTTGAAACTTTTACGGATGATGTATTATTGTTGCCGCTATAACATCAAATACTAAACAACCGAACAAAAAATATTTAAGTGAGGCTCTCGTACAACAGGCATGACATGTTTGTATAGATAATGGTCATGCGGTTTTAAGCGCTAGTGACAGTCTATATGTTGCCCGCCAAAAGTTACAGCCTATATGTGTCCTGCCGAACGTAACAAACAGCATATACGTGTCCCGCTGAAAATAACAGCCTATATGTATCCCGCTGAACGTAACAGCTTATACCTGTCACGCTGAAAGTAACAGTCTATACATGTCCAGCTGAAAGTATCATCATATACATGTCCCGCTGAAAGTAACAGCCTTGACGTGTCCCGCTGAAAGTCACAGCCTGAAAGTATGTGTCACTGCTGGGCAAAGGCTTCTTTACTGAGAGCATTAGGGCATAGACCACGCGACCCCTCTGCGGATCGACGGACTTGACATAACAGTAAAGTAATAATATACGCCTACTTCTAGACAAAGGCCTCCCTTGTAAAGAGGATAAAAGGCATAGTCTACGCGACCTGCGGATTGTCTCACTTTTCACATCTTCGACTTTCCTGATATTTTTTCGAAAATATGCCGGTTTCCTCACGAACGATGTTTTCCTTCACCGCTGTCAAGTCAGCACATTCATAAGTCAGCACCTAAAAGTAACAATTTCGTTGGTGCCGACACCGGGCGAGCGCCCGGACACTGAGCTATCACGGCGCGATTTTGTATCATAACTATACACATGCGTATGGTAATATATTTTCTTAAGGAATAAGAAAAAGCACATGCGACAAGTGTGTCCACATTCACCAGGCATGTCCACGTGCGTGTCGCATGTCCACATGCGTATCACATGCTCACATGCATTACTCCACTTAGGTAAGGCTTATAAAGCTCGTGGAAATGAACCCTTTCCGATTCCGTGCTGTGTCCGACGATTGACAACGGACCGAAAGGGCGAACGTCAATCAACAGACAACCCCATCCCCACTTACCGGCACTGGGCACATGAGGGCGGAACCGCCGTCCCCCTTGCACGTGTCCTTCCCCACCTCCCCACCGGCGCAGAGGAAGCTCTTGTGCAGCTTGAAGAACGCCCCCAGCCTGGTGGTGCGCAGCTGCTCCTGGCACGACGACTTGTCTACCACCGGCACCTCGACCTGCGTTTTTTGTCGAACTCTGCTTTAGGGTTCCGTACCCAAAGGGTAAAACGGGACCCTATTACTAAGACTCCGCTGTCTGCCTGTCTGTCAGTCTGTCACCAGGCTGTATCTCATGAAACGTGATATTTAGACAGTTGAAACTTTTACGGATGATGTATTATTTTTCCCGCTATAACATCAAATACTAAACAACCGAACAAAAAATATTTAAATGGGGCTCTCGTACAACAGACATGACATGTTTTTATAGATAATGGTACGGAAACGAGTTTTTCGTATTTAGTAAATATTTTATGGTGGTGTGGCTATTTTTTTACGAAACGTACGTTTCCCGTTTCAAGTAAAGCAGTACAAGTAAGGTTGCCTGAAAGAAATTGCTAACTTAGCGTTAAGGCCGTCTATACACTACCTGTATTTTCATTTCGTAAATTACTCGTGTACAATATTCCATTCTATTTTGAAATTGGGGAGGTGTATGCCCAACGATGGGCGAACACACGCTGAAGAAAGAAGAAGATTCCATTCTATTCAATGCTTTGTCTCGTGTTCTGCGAGTCAACGAATAGACGTCTCGTGTGGGAGTCGAACCCACGACCCCAGCCCATACAGCCCCTTTAAAAATGGTAAAAAGTGAAAAAAAAAAAATACTACAGTAGGCTGAAACTCATTGGAAAAGGAGGGGAGGGAATATGATAAATTTTTTTGGTTACAAAAATTATCGACCCTTGTCTAACAGCGCCACGGAGCACGGCAGCCGCACTTACTTTCTTGGGTATGACCTGGTAGGAGCCCCCCTTGCCGAACTTGTCCTTGCCCCAGCCCGCGGAGAAGCACCTGGTGGCCGGCGCGGGGGCCCTGGACTCCGAGGGCAGGCACAACGTGTTCACGTTCGGCTGCAGCTCCAGCGGCTTGTCCAGCACCAGCAGTGCGATGTCGTAGTGCAGGTTCGCTGGGGTGCGGAATACGGAGGTATAGCTTCCCTTGTCTTCTTTTTTTTCTCTTCATCTTTAAAAAGGGTTTAATCTGTACAGATTCCTTGTCGTCTTGTCTGTCCATTTTAACCTAAGAACCCGTTAGCAAACTACTTTGACGAACCAATTGGCGTAGTGGATAGTACCATGTCTCTTGCGCAAGAGGCTGTGGGTTCCATCCCCACTACTGGAACAGTATTGTGTTAGGAACCTATGTTCGTAACACAATATTATTGATACTTTAACACTCGTAACACGAAACACGGTCATAAAGCGGTAAAAACCCGCTACCCGTCCACGAATCCCGAATCAGTCGCAGGTCTGCTGGAAGAGATTCCTTAAGAAATAAGCAGGGCCTGTGTAAAAATTCTTTCATGTATTTAAATTTCTGTCATAATTCTCTGTGTACATAAATTATAAAAGAAATAAATAAATTTGCGGGGAAGAGTGGGGGAACTAGCGCGCTCCCCGGAGAACCCACCCCTGGTCCGGTTGAACCTCTCATGGAGGATCATGCGCTCGACCTGCCGGTCCTGATGGGGGTAGATCTCGTCGGTGCTGCGCGTGTCCCACTCGCCGGCGCGCACCCTGAGCGTGTTGTTGGTGTTGTGCACCACGTGGGCCGCCGTCATCACGACCCTCGGGTGGATCAGGGTCCCGCCGCCGGTGTAGAGCGACACCTTCTTGCTGGCGGGGTCCGACTCGTCCAGCGCCTGCAGCCTGGTTTTCTTTAAGTGTTAGTGGCGAGCGAGCTGGCGGCTCACCCGACGGTGGGTGATAGCCGCGGCCCATTTACATTATTTTTTAATGTGAAAAGTTGCCAAGCGAGCAGGTGATTCCCCTGATGTTAAGTAAATAAAACCGCCCATGGACATCTGCCACACCCGAGTTTTTGCAGATGCGTTGACAACCTTTGGAAAATTGGGCTCCGGCTAAATCACTTACCAGACCAAACGCGAAAGTATTTGTCATATTCCCACTTTACACCGGTCTTCTGTGAGGTCGTGGTACTTACCCGGACGAGCCTGCCCATGCGTGCAACAGCCGAGGCTGCTGCGTGGCCCTACCACCGTTAACAAACACTCAGAGAACTTTTTAAATTGATTAATATACTGACTGTTGCGTCTCAATATATTTATTGTAATATTTTGTTTGTTGGACATTATCTTAATAATTATCTAAAGAATAGTGACAGAGAAAAACGAAATACTAGAAATAAGGACAAACTAACTACGCCAATGTTTTGTCTACAAAAAGTAAATAGGTCGTTCATAGTGCAAAGTATGCGCAAATATAATATAATGCCACAGTCGATATTAAGTCTGCCAGTGGTGAATTTAAATGAAAAATTAAAAGTAAACTTATGGCTAAAGCGTATTATACCATTGCGGAATATGTTGACGACGCCAATGTGAGGAGTTAATACTGTTCATACTCACGTAGGCTAAAACGAGACTAAAAATATTGTAAATTGACCTTTTTAAAAAAGAGCAACGTTTAAGTTTCTTGCCAGTATCTTCTCAACAGAAACTGCTTTCCGAACCGGTGGTAACTTACGAACGTATTAATTTAACGTTTCATAAGAACGCGCGTCTATGTGAAATCAAGTTATTTTGAATTTAAATTTTCAACTTTTAGACTATCAGCGATAATCGAATAAATTTCTGTAACTGAAAATACACAGACGATATTATTTATATAGATTGCTCAAACAGGAGATTTTGATCGTCGAATCGGAAACAGTCAATCAAAATCTGGTCACGTTGGTGCAATACGGACGATGGACCCGGTCATCGGATCAATGTGGAGGCTCTCTAATTACCGCAATTTGTAACTGGGTAGTCGTTTGGTCCAATGAGATATCGAATTGAGGTGTTCCACCACTTACTGCAGCACGGCCACCATCCAAGGGAACTCAGCGAAAGCGGTTTCGCCGTCCGATAACACCCGCGTCGCGAAGGCGTCGGTATTTTGCCATCCGCAGCCGGTTTTCTGGGAAGAATGAATGAATGAATATAATAATACTTTACCACACAAAAGGATACACAAAATTAACAATAGAAAAATTAATGGAATCAAATTAATGGAATGCACAATTTGGCGGCCTTATCTCTTCATAGCGATCTCTTTCCAAGCAACCAATGGCATAAAGGAACGTTTACTACGTAGGTTGTGCAATAGTAACAAAGAATGTTAAAGTCAAGGTGAACTTGTTTATTTATGTACTTACTTGCTGGCCCGCGCAACTTTGTCTTCGTCTTCGTCGAATTATGAAAAAATAAATGAATGGAAACGTTTTTTACTAGTCCGAATTTGAATTTTTTTTTCCGAAGTCTCTATTGTGGAGGCCCCGGGGCTGTAACCCCGGTTGCCCTCCCCTAAATCCGGCCCTGCCGGTGCCGGCACCGATAGATTGTCAAATTAAAGCGCTGAATTATCACGTGTTTAGCGGTGAAGGAAAACATCATGAGGAAACCGGCATACTTTCGAAATAATACCAAAAAAAAAAAAAAGATGTGTGAAGTCCGCCAATCCGCACGGGGCCGCGAGGTGGACTATGACCCTGATACCCTCTGTACAGAGGAGGCCTTTGTCCGGCAGTGGGACATTTATAGGCTGTTCTTTCACTTTACTGAAGACGCAAAACAATTACCTTCATCACGCTGCTATTTTCTACTGGAGTGAAGCTCAGGTCGTCTAGCGGGCAGCAAACTTCGGCGCCTTGCACGCAATCCCCCTTGAAACTGAAAAACGGTCTGCGCTGTTTCGTGATCTATAACTGGACATCGACCACAATCACATGATGTGGACCAATTATGAGGATCACCCTAACTCTGTGGTAGGGCCACGCAGCAGCCTCGGCTGATGCACGAATGGGCAGGCTCGTCCGGGTAAGTACCACGACCTCACAGAAGACCGGCGTAAAGTGGAAGTATAATACTTTCGCGTTTCGTCTGGTGATGTGGCCGGAGCCCAATTTTCAAAAGGTTGTCAACGCATCTGGAACCCTCGGGTGTAGCAGATGTCTATGGGCGGCGGTTTTCACTTCATCAGGTGAACCCTCTGCTCGCTTGGCAACTTTTCACATAGCGTGCGATCGGCGTACGATGTAAATGTGCGCGGCGACATGTATGTCCGGCTTACTTACCATGCTTCACTTACGATATTCATGCCTTGGATTCCTGTTATTTTTTAAGTCCGTGATAATAAATTTGATATTATAAACACATTGCACTGAAAACACGAGTACGGAATTGCGGACATATTTTTTTTATAAATAACCATTTCACTCTGTTTACTAGACTACAATGTTCAATCCTCATAATATAAAACAAAAACTGATGTAAAACTTCAAATTGTGATCACAAAATCAGCCAAAGCGACAATGAGGAATTCATCATTGACCGAGGCTGAAGTGCTTTATGTTCCCAATTTTGCAAAGCGCAAAGACTGCTATGCGTTTGTGTAAGAATGCTATGCGTTTATTGTTGAAGTGTAAAGTAAATAATAATAAATATAACCACTTTAACAACTTTGCTGGCGACTGTACAACGTGTAGTCAGGGCGAGATAGGAAGAGCTTTAGGCAACGGGTGGGAGCAGGAGAGCGATATTTTCCCCTCCTTCTAGCGCCTTCGCTATGATTCACTCCTCAATAGCCCAGGTGAACTTAACAAGTTGTAAATTATTAACGGAACTTACTTCTTACTGTCCGGCGAGTTTCCGCTTAAGCAATTACTGGGCGTCATACATTGCCCCTCTGTACCAGCCGCGGTATAGCACACCGGAACAGAAGAAACTGCGAACGTTAAAATGATTATTAGAAAAAATCAAGCAGACACGTATATTACACGATGATATTTGTTTAACTCTTTGTTAAACGTTGTAACTTAACATAATTATGTGTTTATTTTTTTTATAATAAATATCACTGGATATGTTTTCTAATACTCAGCCCCGGATCTTAATTTTTTTGGGTGGGGCAAAAACTGAGAAAGCCGCCCCCCACGCCCACTTATATTTATTTTTACCTTTATCATCTATACATGGTGGCTTTTCTAAAGATGCCCAAATTCACACAGGAGGTTTAAACTCAGCAGTATAATCGTTTATTAAAATAAAAACAAACTTTTTTTTCAAAAAAATTGCCATTCCATTCCCGAAAAAACAGAACTGGTTGACAATGTGGTAGTCATTCATAAATGCGTCGTATACTTTTTAAACGAACTTGTTTGTATCTTGTATTAACTGATGTTTTTGCTTTCAGTCCCGAGACTATTAAAGCTTCATCTGACGCAGAACCGGTGGGCTAGCCAGAACCCACGGGTTTGGGCCCTCCGCTGTGGGTAGGGCCACGCATGTGCTCATGCGTGCGTTTAACTATGGTACGTCATCTAAGGGCCATCGAGGTCGTGGTTCGGACCGAAACCCCGATTGCCGTCGACTGTGCAACTAGCTAATCGGTGGCTGGGGGCGGTGAAAACCGCCCCGGAACTCGGGTGTACCTTGTGTACGCGTTGTGTTGGTCTCGCCGTGCTCGGAGGCGAGGGCGAACTAGTGTGTTTGTTGTTGCACTAACCGTGGGTGTAGTGTTGTCCGGCGGGACCCCCGGCAGTGGGTCCGGCGTATCTAAGTCCCCTTCCTCGACCGGGTCGATTAGGACGTTTCGCGAGCGACGCTTGTTGACGTTCGCGTTTTTGTCGGGTTGATAATTTGCTGCGCTTACCACCAGAGGGTTGGGATGATGTTCGGCTCTATCGAAGAACCGTTTGGTCAGGTCTTTAAAATATTCGCGAATCGTCGGGAGTCTGCAATCGCTGTGCAGGTCGACGTTGCGTTGATACCACTGCGCACCGGTTGCGCGGCGGATGAACTTATTTTGTACTATTTGCGACTTGTACAAGCGAGTAGGGTGCGTGTGGGCGAAGATCATGCATGCGTAAGATATAATAGGTCGTACGCAGGTCTTATATAATAATAATTTGTGCCTTAAGGGCATTTTACTTTTAGCGTTAGTTAAATTGTGTAGCCGGCCGGAGACGAACGCGGCTCTATTGCGAACGTTATTAATGTGCGTAGTAAATGACATACGCGAGTCGAAAGTGACTCCTAAGTATTTGACCTTTTTCTCCCAGGGGAGCGGTTGGCCATAAAGGGATATTTGCCCCAACTTTCTGCATTGACGAGGGCCATTATAAAGATGTGACGGGTAAGTACTTCGTGTGAAGTGAATCGCCACACTCTTTTCGGGATTTATTTCTATTCTCCATTTGCGGAACCAATCGCCGAGGCGGTCGGCAGCGCTTTGGAGTCGAGCGGTTAGTTGTCTAAGGTTGCGGTCTGAATAAAAGAGCGCCGTGTCATCCGCGAAAAGCGTGAGATTGACGTGGGGGTCTTTAGATATATCACTCGTGTAGAGCGTAAAGAGCAAAGGTGAGAGGCAGGAGCCTTGTGGTACGCCGGCGGTGAGGCGGCGGCTTGTGGAGAGGGTGCTTTCAACTCGATATCGAAAAGAGCGGTTCGACAGGAAGGCCTGGATGGTGTGTACGAGCCTATCTGGCACTTTGAGTGTGTACAGCTTGTAAAGCAAGCCGTTGTGCCAGACCTTGTCGAATGCTTTTGCGACATCGAAGAAAAGAGCCCCTGTACTAATATGTTTAGGGTGATTTAGGCCTTTTAGGATATGTTCCGTTAGGCGAAATAGTTGATCGGGACAGGAATGTCTAGTTCGAAAGCCGAATTGTTTCGCCGGCAGAAGGCCGTTGGAAAACACGTGCTCATTGAGCCTGTTTAATAAAAGCCGCTCGTAGAGCTTCCCCAGGCAACTGAGGAGGCTGATGGGCGATAACCCTGGCTTCTTTCCAGTCGTCTGGAAAGGAGCAACTGGAGAGTAAAGTATTGTAAATGGTCGCCAGTAAACAGATAAGCGGCCCAGGGAGAGCTTTAAGAATTTTGTTACTAATATTATCTGGGCCCGGGGCGGATTTGGGTTTTAAGTTTTTAATAATATCTTGAACCTCTTCGGGGGTCACTGAATTCAAAGGATCGCCTTCTGGTGGAAGCGCAGCCCTAATCTCGATTACGCGGTCCACCTCCGTTAGGTGGGCTGTATCGATGTGTTCGCGCGATGGCGTACATTGCTGCTCTAGGTTGTCCGCAAGGCATTCGGCTTTTTCGGAGTCATCTAGGGCTACTGAAGCGCTATTAGGTCTACCTAACGGCGGTAGAGATTCGCGGGGGTCTGCTTTCAGACTGCGGACCAACCGCCAGTAGGCGGTTGTGCGATGGCTCGATGTCCTCTAGGAGAGTGTCCCACGTTGTATGTCGGTGTTCCGATACACGATCTTTGACTTCTAGCTGAAGGCGTCGAAGTAGGGTTCGGTTCGATTCCGATCGGTATCGGTCGAAAGCGCGTTTGGCTGCATTTTTCTGCCTAATTAGGAGTCGCAGGTCGGGCGGAAAGTTAAACCGTCGATCGCCCGACAGTTTAAACCGTCCGTTCCGAGTCTGCGACTGTGGAAGTGATGGTTTCTCGGAGACTTGCTATCGCTCGATTTGCGTCATCGAACGTAGCTATCGTCTCGGGTAGGTCGACTAAGTCCTGGGGGTCCAAGGCCTTGAGTTTGGCCTTAAGACGATGCCAGTCCACTACGGATTTGGTCGGAGGGACCGCGCCGGCGTTCTGGCCCAGTTTACACAGGACGGGCCTGTGATCTGAGTCTAGTTCATGGGTTGTCTCTATCGACTCGATGTCGAGCGAGACCTCCTTGAGTAACATGATATCTAGGATACTCGGTGTCGCGTGTTGGTAGTTGTCCACCGTAGGATACCTAGTGGGAGTCGCAGGAGCAATTATGCTAAAGTTTAAATTATCGGATAAGCTAAAGAGATGCTTTCCGTTGTTATTTGGGATGCTGTGGATGTCCCATGAGCCGTGTTTGCAGTTTAGATCTCCTGCAATTATCACGGAGGGGCCTAAGTTGAGTAGCGTATCTAGGTCGCTTTGTAATAAGGTTTTGTTCCCCGAGAGGTAGGCTGAGACTAGTACAAGCGGCCTATGGCCGGTGAGTGCTAACCTACACGTGGATGCCTCTATATGGCTTAGCTCTGGAATGTCGAGCGGGCTACAGTGCAAGGACCGTTTGTAATAAATTAATTCTACAAGCATTTTATGTTCGCTAATGGCTTTAAATCGCGCGTTGCCAGATGTGGCGGCCGCTATTTTAGCGGACAATACGGCGAGTTCTTGTCTATTAATGCGGTCTAATAAGGCGCAGATGTTGGCAATTTGGGCGAACGGGTCGTCCTTGTTTTCGGCGAAAACCGACGGTGTCAACTGCACCTGCGGCGTCGGCGCCGTTTGGTAGGCGGGAGCGATTGGTCGTGAGGCGACCGGAGGCGTAACTACCTGCGCGGCCACCTGGGGTTTCGCCCAGGCGTTTACGACGGGTACGGGCGCGGGAACGTATTTCACGGGCGCGGGTTTGGGCAAAGTAGATTTCGCGGGAGCTTGTAACACTTTTTTTTCTACGCCTCGTACCCTTGAGTTTCGAGTGGCTTATATTAGAGATTCTTAGTAGAAATATAGCGACATCTGTTGTGAACAATACAATTTAGTCGAATGAATCCTTAGAAAATCTATATTTCAGTTATTATAGATGGCGCTAAGTCACCTTGTTGTTTTGCCTTAGTTTATTTTCTTGGATTATTTCGGTGCTAGTGATATTATTGTCTCGAAATATAAAATAATATCATTTTAGTTATATTGGACTAATATCAAGCAAATTTGTTTTTACATAATTTTCGCTTAGAAACGTTGTCTCATTTAGCATAGTCTATGTTGATGGTGTCATCTGTCGTTCCGAGGAGAACGGCGGTCGGTTTCGTCTTGAAGTTTGTTTGTCTTGTTGGAGCGTCTGGTGGCGACGCGTCTCCTTTCTAAGTAGGAGCATGTAGGAGAGGAATATGTGGCATCTTAGGCCACATCCGTTGACATCCTACTTGAATATGGCTTCTTGGCCTTTATATTTTACATAAAAAACCCACATCGTTGGTAAGTTTCCTTTGTGCATATATTTTTGGGATCTGACTGTTTTCGGTCCATTATTCGTTTGGTAACATTTCGTATTTTGTTACAGGGTTTTTTTTTTTTTTTTTTATCTTATTCCTATTATTATTCTACTTTATCTCGCTGAGCTGCTTCTCTCTGATGGCTTGATATCGAACCACGCGTTCGCCTTGTATGCAACTGCATATATATTAAGAATCTGAGGTCCTGCTGTCCACGTGCAACTTGAAGCCGCGGACTAGCTGAATGCCCCTCGGTGGCATGTGAGGATTGCTGAGCTGAGGCCTTCACACTTATTTGGAAATTAGAAAGGCAAGCCTGGTTCCTTCTGGTATGTTTTTGCTCTAATCTAAATCTAGCCATTAAACTGATGATTGTGTTTATATACTGCTATGTAACGGTGATTAATCTAATGTACTCTCAAATCTTAATCTTGATATAATTATGCCTGATTGGTGAGATCTCACTCCTTTGAATATCTTTAAATTGATATAGTTTAGTTTTATATTCAAACCTTGTATTAATAAACTCTAAAACTGTTAAGGAATATATCTTTTATTTCCACTAAGTAAATCCCTTAGAATAAGCATTATTCTGTCTTGCACGGGGCGGGCTGGCGCCTATTTAATATAAATTCTGTCCGTCCCCGTGACTGGGTCACCGAGCCTCACCCTGTGGTCTTGATCGGTCCGATTGAGTCAGCCGGAGCGAACCCCTATACCGATCTCCCT